CTTTTTGATCCCTTGTCTTGTGATACCGAGTCAGTCCTCTTCTGCTCGAGAGATTAATGAAGCAAAAATGATGAGTGTGCTTATCATACAGATTACAAAATAAAGGATTAACTCGAGATCTCCACCTGACTTTGTAACATATTTGCGTCTGTTTGCTTTAGTAGACATCGATCAATTTATCAGAGTATAAAAATCAGATTACAAAAATAGGGTACTGTTTATTTACGAAAATACTATATGTATAAATTCTGAAGTGGTAGATAAGTGCACTCCAGATAAGATGTGAAATTATAAATTCAGGAGAAACGTAACGTCGAACAAAAAATAAAATCTCCCCAACTAGTACTACCTACCTACAATTCTAATTTCAACGAAAAAAACATACAAAGTTCACTTCTCTCTACACAAAGGACATCAATACCAGAATCCACATAACAAATCGCCAATACTTTCGACCAGCAATACAGACTACAATCCACATATTGTACATTTCATACGAAACTTTCTTTCGGTATCACTTCATTCCTTTCTTACCCAACTCCCGGACTGTTGGTAAACAAGATAAGATAATCGTAATCTCTCGAATAATCGGTAATCGCGTACGTTATCAGTCGCCGATGCAGAGGAACGTGGAAAGATAATTGGGAATCAGAATTTCCGCCATCTCGAAAATCCACCTGTTACTCTATCGACTGCCAAAACGTCATGGTCTACGTCGCTAATAATTCGGTCGTCGTGATTTCGCCAGTTTTCGGTCCGGTCATCAAGGACTCGGTTTGGCAGTCGATTCCCTGGCTGGCTTGCCGTCAAGCTATGAATTATATTTTTAGTCGTTCCGTGGAATTTTTTTGGCGACCGGTCCGCCGATTTTCGCCGGGTCCCGCGATCCTCAATCGCCGCTTCTCCTCGTCCTCCGCGGTTTCGCCGCGGAACGGCATCGCCGGACGATACCGTAACGGGTTACGCAACGCGGAAACATTCTCTCTCTCGTGCTTGACCTTGTTGCACCGGGCCCGCGCCGCGGTTGTACACGCATTTCGTTTTCTTTTTCAACGGCCGCCCGATCACCGGCCTCTGCTGGCTCGGCTTTTTTTCCTCGCTTTTTTACGTAACGCTCGCAGGCCAGAAAACGTTCCGGTTTTATGTAACCTCGGGCAATCGGAATGACTCCGTTCACCGATTATTGTTCGCGGAGACGGATCGGAGATAAGGCGCGCGCACCTTATCGCGCGGGGTCGCTCGATTTAGCGGGCGAACTGAGGTTTGTCGAGGAATATTTTCGAAAAACGGTCCCCGTCTGGCAAAGTTCAGTCGTTTTATAACGTTACGCGCGCTGATACGGCGCGGAAGTTTTTGTTGTCTGGCCGGCTGACCGCGGTTATCGGTCACGTGCGAAAAATGGAACGTGGCGAACAACCAACGCGGACTGATGCAGATTTCACCGTTTCCTTTCGTTGGTGGGTTCGCTGATTAGTGATTGAGGTTTTTTGATGATCTTGGACTTGAATGGTGGAACAGGGAATTGGAAATTTGTATGAATGTATAAAATTTAATATTACACACGTGAGAAAAAGGTAATATGCGGACGACCGACGCGAGTTGACACATCTTTCGTTGCATTTCCGATGGAGTGGATCTTTTGATTGGTAATTTGTACTATTTCGGCTATTTTGTTTTAAAATAAGCTGTGCCAATGCTGATTTACGTGAATGCCCAAAATATAATATTATAATAGATGAATTAATTTGTTTTATTATAATATTCGTCTCCTTATATTTTTATTAAGCTAAAACATATTCCAAATTCAAACTGAAAAGGCTAAGAAACATTCTATGCATTCGAACTGCATAACTATTTTATGAAAACAGTTGATTGCCAGCAGGTACACAATAACAGAAACGCACAAATCGTGCGGAACGTTAACTGTTTACAGCCGAACGATGCCAAATAACGAATCAAAAGTGGCTAGCGAATTAAAGTAGGAGGGTGGAACGTTGTTCAGTGTGGTACTCGAAATTCGAGCACAATAACAAGGAAAACCATGGACGGATCGCAGGTTTTTGCTGTTCGGCAGATCGTAGGCAAACATTTCACGCGGCAAAACGTGGCTATAGACTTTAGAAAACGCAGCAGGCGAGCCGAATAAAGAGCCGGGTGTGTTCATTCCACGTGGTTCGAGTGCAATAAGGTTACAGACGAACGGATTTGTTGCGCGATCCTCCTCCGATCGGATAGGCCGGCGTGACGGGCGGCGTTGTCGCTCGCCGGAGAGCCCTTGAAACTCTTTTCGAGCGGCTGGCGGACCGTGCGACACATTCGTTAAGGCACTCACGTGTCGGCGCACTCGCTCGTGAAAGTACGTAATAGTCGCTTGAAACGTAGATCCGTCCAATTATCACGCCAACGTATCGGGCGCAAATTGTTGCCGGGATGATGCTTTTTCACCGGCTATGCGCCGACGGCTGCTGACGCTAGCCGGATTCAAACAGGACCAAGCATATAGCAAGTAAATGTGATTGTTGGTTAGACAAAAGTCTTGGTAAGAAGTGGTGAAAATTATTCGTAAGGTTGTGATGCAGTGCAGAATATTTTTAATGTCTCGCGGGAATAAGTATATTGCATGAGATAATATTTTCTTGCATATCGTTGGAAGGAGAACCTTTTTTATGCACTTGACATGCTTATTCTCGATCTTATGCTTCTTTGTTTGCGTGTTTTAAGAATTGTTTTTAACCTGTGCTTCTTTGTTACATTTTCGAAACATTGTTTTTACCCTTTGATCCTCTGTTATGTCTTTGAAATATCGTTTTCGATCTTTATTTCTTTGTCGCGTTTTTCAAATATTGTTCGGAAAATGATAAAGAAAATCTGAAAGCTCCATGAAGTTTCGGTTTTATTAGAGTCCACATTTTTGGATATGACAAGTCCTCGAATTTGTAGTAGGGACGATAGGTCGTGTTACAGTAATCATTAACATCGGATTAAGAGTTGACACTCGGTTGACGCCTTTTTTTAAAATCGCGGATTTGCGGTCGGCTCAGTGCGGACCAAATTGCGCGAGCGCGAAAAGTCAATATTTGTTGGCAGTTCTCACCCTCCGGCTCTTTCGTTTTTTCTCCGTCAATAGCGGAAGATTAAAGACTTGACGATCTAAAGAGCGGAGGTTTTCAAATTTTACCAGTGTCTATGATTCTAGGAAGCTTTATTTTGATCGATGATTCCAACATTTGAAAACCTTTCGAAATCAATGTCCCTTAACACTGGAACTATCGAGCACTCAAATTACCTTTCTAACATTTTCTTATAGAAGCTCCTGAAATGCATTTATTAAGATTTCGTTGGACTTACAATTCAGTTGGCGCACCACTAAATCAGTTTCTTTAGCAATTTTTCAGAAATGCATCTGCCATCTTTTCAATAATCGTGAAAAAAGAAATCTAGAAATAGATCATCTCTTGAGTTAAATATTTTTCGAATGATAAAAAAATAATTCCTCATTCACCTTTCTGTTCGAATTTTCTTTTTGTCGTTCACAAAACTTGTTGTATATTTAGAAAAATTAACAGATTCAAAAGGAAAAGAAAAACACGAAAGTTTATCGAACATTGCTCGCTATTTAGTCGGGAACTCTGGCTCAAAAGGGCGAAAGGGAAACGAGTGCGCTCGGCGGTTGTGAAAAGCGTTTGAAAAAACGGAGCAGAGAAAAAAGAGCACACGGTTCTAGACGTGTCGAGAGCACTCCTCGTTGATATATAATAATCGCTTCCGCGCTTTTCCAGGCTTTTAGGCGTATTTTCTTATCCATTTCATTGCTGCCCCTGTTATCTCTGCGATTGAAAGAAGAAAAAAAAGGGAAAAAGAAATAGGTAGAAAGGACGAAAAACACTGTCGTTGACTCGCATTCGAGGGAACGTTGACATCGTCGCCTCTTTCCCTCGAGAGGGCCACCGTGATCGAGGAAAGGTTGCGTTTCTCTGATCTATGAAACGAGTATCGGCTCCCATCTCTTTCGAGTTTCCTCCCCTGCGGTACCGAAACAACCGCAGGGAAAGTATTTTTAACGTAAAATATTTTAGTATTTCACCTCAAAGGAAAAATTTACACGCACGAGATCCCGGCGTACTTTTTATCTTTTATTTCTTTTTCAGTTGTACAGTGGAAAAGTATTTGATGACAGTTCTTATTGATCGTTCATTCGGTGCAACCGACAGTATCTCGGACAATAAGTTAGAGCTCTAACGTTTCCTTTAGGAACAAACCTTATCCTCCTTTCCTTTTTGTCCTTTCCATCTTCATCGGAAATAGAGTAATTTCTTTTCCTGTGAAGTGAACACAAATACAGGAACCTATACGGTTTATGACTATCATACATGTAATTATAGATTGTTGATCGTTAAACATGGCTAACGACCTCAGGTGTTCAAGCAACGTTATAAAAATTGATTTTAAAATAACGCAAGAAAGATAAAGTAAGATAGATTAAGTAAACCTATTTTCTGGTCGACAGAGGAGGATTCGAAGACAACAGCCAAGGACTTAGAGTCGCACGAGGAAGCGACGTTGCCCAAAGAAGCCTCCTCCTCGAAGGACATAACGAAATCCTCTAGTAATACCAATTTACCGCCTACCAGGATCCCTACAAAGTTAACACCATTGAAGAAACCAGAGAAACTAGAAGGAGTGCGACGGAAAGAGAGTCCTAGCCAGGAGAAGCAGTTCAAACCTCAGAATGATCAGAAGCTGGACACTCCTTTAGCGACCGATAGAGCCTCCAGAGACTATACCAATTTGAAATTTCAAGACCCCAAGTTCTACGAGTGTCCGAAGCTTCTCGAAAATGCTGCTTCGACGTCTGCAACTGGAATAACGGCGAGCACACCGCCGAAAAAAGAGCTAGACTTGAAAGAAGTACTGAAAAGGTCCGAGTCTCTCAGCCCGAGAAACGAGAAATGGGAACAATTGTCCTGCAAGTTTAGTTCCGAGGAGAGTATCATAGATATCGATAAACTGAGCGCTTCCACGTTGTTCAAGTCGGAGAAGACAGAGAAGTTCGACAAAGAGAAACACCCCAGCCAGTTCGGGCAGCAGAAGGAGCTCACTCTGAGCGGCGGGGGGACTATGTTTCTGAAGAGCAACAGGAGTAGAGATAATACGCCTAGTCAAGAGGCTGCTAAGCTCGATGACTTCCGGTCCGTGGCGATTACCGACGATACCACCACCGTTGGGGGAGACCGGCTCAAGTCCATTCTCAGGGAGAAGCAGACTGAAGATGGTAAGAGATTTCTATGGTTTTGAAGATTTAGTAAACGACTCGTTGTTTAGATGAATCTGTTTTCGAGTTAATTTAAAGATGAAAGGGTTTATTGGTCGTTGAAGTTTTGCTTTATTGTAACACTGTAGAGAGTAGTTTGGATAATTAGAGAATGATTTTTCAATTTGAAATAATTTATCAATTTTAATATTATATTGTAAAATTCAGTTTTAACAGCTACAGCAAAACTCAAGGAACTCAGCAGAACGAAATATTCTTTTATTATAATATAATATTTCTTTACATAATTTACAAACATTGACCCTAATTCAAAATAAATAATTAATTCTGGTTCCTTTATAGTAGAAGACAGACCAGTGGATGAAGAGCGTAAGAGCGTTCGATTCGACATAGAAAGGGAAGTGGACATTAAGTTCACGTATTCAGCATCAGAAGACGACTGGGAGTCCGAATCAGAGGAGCAAAACGTGCGGATATCCGCCGTTGTCACAAACAAAGTCACCGGTTCGATCCTATCCTCTCAAAGATCCATTACCCAGAGTTTCGACGACGAGAACAAAGAAGACTCCGAGAGCAAGCTCGACGAAGACACGAAGAGGAGCTCATCGTCAGAAAAGACAGACCCCTCGAAGAAGAATGTCAAGATCGTTGGCAAGAGGTTTGTCGTTCAAAACGTTTCGGAAACTGAACATCGTAGCCAAATGGCGAAAGAGAGCGTATCCAGGGAGAGTATATCTAGAGAAAGCAGCCTGGACTACGTACCAAACAAATTCGACAAAGTAAAAAACATCGATCTAGTCTCGAAGAGTGAAACAGACTGCAGCGTGGCGAAGAGCAGTGACTCCGACGAACTCAGGAAGAATAAAATAGAGACTGAGAAGCCAAACAAATCGGCAATAAGGTTCTCTGATGAGAGACAAGGGGATGATGAAGTCACGTTCGACCTGTCCAGAGTCATCCAGGGATTGGATCTTCAGAGGCAAGACAGCGAAGACTCTAGAACGGTATCGTTCGGCGATGCTGTTCCGCGGCGGAATCGCGGAGGACGAGGAGAAACGGCGATCGAGGATCGCGGAACCCGCAGGAAATCGGCGGATCGGCCACCGAAAAGATTCCATCGGAGACTCTACAGGCAGACCGAAATTGATTTGTTAAAGTGGGAGTATTGTGAGAAGCTGGAGAAAACAGAGAAAGACCTCGAGAAGAATTTTATAGCAGAGAAGAAGCTGTTGGAGAAGAATCTAAGTGACAGGTTGGAGGCGCTAAGACGAGACATGGCTGAGAAGGTAGATCGCTAAAACCCTAATTTTTCTAATCCAGTAAACATGAATTCATTCGATCGTACGTTACGTTATATTATGTAATACTAAACGTATTAAACGCGTCCCTTTTTTAATGAATAACTCATTGATCTTACAGGAGGAGCGAGAGATCAAGAACCTGATCGCCGAAATGGACGAATCGAGGCTCGAGAACCTGAAGAAAGTGAAGGCAGAGTTAGAGGTCTGCTACGAGAAGGAGAGACAAGAGATTCTGAGTAACTTGAAGACAGAACTAGACGAAAGAAAGAGGGAATTATTAGAGTTAAGGAACCAAGAAATGGGGAAATTAGAAGATGAGCATGAACGCGATCTGGGAGAGGAAAAGCTCGCCAAGTTGAGTGAGATGGACCTGACGAAACAGCACACGGAGAGGATCGAAACTCTGAAGAAGGAATTGGAGAAAGAGTTTGACGAGCTATGCGCCGATCTGCGGTTGCAGCAGAGGGAGAAAATCAGAAAAATGACAGAAGAACACGAGAAGTGCCTAGCGGATATTCTGCGTGATTTCCGGATCGACGTGAGTACCTGACGATGCATATTATTCTAAGTACTCGAGGTTGTTTACATGCTGACGTTTGTCGTTGCGCAACCCCGCCGACTCCCATCGGGCGCGACGTCAACGCGGCTTCACATGTTACCTCGAATCCATCCTTGTTTAAGGAAATTAGGTTATTTATGGGCGATAGAAACGATTGCGGTTATGCAATGGCTAGTTAACTCTGGCTCGAGGCGTTCGTACGACGCAGACCTCGTTAGCCCGCAACTTCTTTTCTGCGAACGCAATAAAATGGCTCGCGACGAGCTCCTTCGGTGTTAATGGATTCGTCATTCGATTTCGCCTATGATTGTGTAACGCTGTCCCGAATGCCTCGGAATGGATTTGAAGGTTTACGTGTAACGAGACGGGCTGAGGAAATCGTTCTTCTTTCCCAAAAAATAAATATATTGCTTGCGTGTGAGCCGTTCGTCGGGCAAATCGCTTAACATTTTACTGAATTTTCTTCAAATTTCATTATCATAACGATTCTCGAATTTTTATGTTTAAAAGAAATTTTCTCATTATCGGGCTTATAGTAGCATGGAATAACGAAAATTTTGTTAACCATGCAGAAGTTGCATTATTAATAATTATTACTTCAAGGATATTTAACGCATCTTCAATGTTGCTTAGAGTAAAATTACATCTGTAGCAATAAAGTAATGTATATTCTATAATGTTTACTTGATTATCCAGTTAAAGAGAAATTTTAGAAAACCATGAATGCTATTACATTAATCGATTTGACCAATGTGTTGCTTATTTGACGTATCATATAAGCGTATATTACGAAGATTTATATTTTAAGAAATAATAAAGCATATCGTTGGAAACACACCGGTAGATATATCGTATCTTTCGGACATGCTCGAAACGACGTTAAGTATATCCGGTCAGTTTTATATACTTTGGACGATTTCACAAGCGTGCCAAGAATATTAGTAACGCCACAGAAATTGTTTCACGAATTTATGTATTAGATGAGCTTCTAAACGGCCTAATAGCTTTTCTACGCATTACTATCAACTGTGCAAACGAGTAACACTCTATTTCTCAATAGGGTTACAAATGTAATGTGAATTAAAAATATTTTTGTTAGGCAGTGTTTAGGAGAAATCTCACTATGACGGAGAACAGTGACAATATTGTGAATATTTTTAGTATTAAGTATTGATTCGAAAATGATTAGAGAACATTATGGCTTAACAGTGACGCTGGTATGAAATAATAAAAATAATATTAAATACGCTGGCTCTGTGTCCTAATACTTAACTCCCATCCACGAGTGTTAGGAGATAAAACTTATCACAAATTATGATTACTACAATTAATTAAACATCATTCAATTTTAGCCCATATCGCAATGAATCCAGAAAAGCTTACATAATTTCACAGGTTTCAATCATCACGCAATAAATCCTCCTAAATTATTCTATACTTAACCAACTTACGATCCAAGTTGTACCATACATGAATCATTGTCATCTGATAGGCTAGCAACGAGTGTCCTCACAAAATGAAATCCTATATCCAAATCCTAGCACCAGCCATACCTGCTATCGCAATGGATGTTCAATCAACTGCGTCAAGGAAGACTGTGGGATCAGTCAGTATTTGTCGTTCGATGTTTCTCGACGTTTTCACGTGTGAAACCCATGTGTCCCTCCGAAAACGCGTTTCAAGTAAGTTTGTCTGCTGCCTTTTCAGGAGACCGTAGCCACGCAGCAGATCTACAAGCAGCGTTTAGGGGAAATCCGGCCCGACCTGTCGAGAGACGCAGAAATCAAAACGAGGAAGCTGGTTGATCAGCGATCTTTCCAACAGGACACCGTGGATATCGAAAAGATGAGGTCCGAGAACCGTCTAATGCAAGACAAGTACACAGCACTCAGGGAGAAGTACAATAAGTTGAAGAACGACGTTCGTCTGGCTGTCGAGAGGAGGAGAAGGAAGGTGGAATACACCACCGCCTCCGAGACCGAGAGATCGACGTCCACGAGGACGAGGACCGATCGAACCGAGTCATCGGAACAAAAGTGAGTCAGAATTAACGTTCAGTTACTCTGGTGAATCGTTCGTGCCAACCACTTGCACTTTCGAGCTCCTAAGATTCAAAATTTGTAACGATTAAAAATTCAAGATACAGTGTAAGAATAATGATATCTTTTGGAGTTAATATTCAGCTGAAAATAATTTTCGGTCAGTACAGCACCTTTCAAATCGTGAAGTTTTTTTATTTGGGCGAATGGTTGGTACTCTGTGTAATATTACAAGTAGCAGAGTGCTTATAGATGTGATAGCTGTTTCAAGTACCGTGGAAGCATGATCTTGCACTTGAATATATTGGGTACCTTTGTCGTTCTCAGGTGTCTCAGAGCACAATTCACACTAGATGGAAGTCTATTTAACGAACTATACCCAGTGTATTCCAACAAGTATTTCACATGAATCATATTAAATGTACTAATACTCCTGCACATTACATTTATCTCATCACCGCCTCAGTACCTTCACAGTCAGTATCACGTACCCGAAATAACCATGCGGATATTGTAATATAATCTGTCTCTAAAGTATCCTCGGGGCAAACGCAATAACGTTTAACACCTCCAGCAAGATGTTAACCAGAGCTCGGCACGTTCAATTTATTTTATACTGAAGTATATACTCTAACTCTGTATATATATATATTAATCTCAAACTGCACCTGCGGTTTTATCCTTTTTATTAACACGTTACCTCAGTCAGCGATAACTGATGTAACATGCCTAACCGCACAACTAAAAAAAGGAGAGTGGGGATAACGATTAAGCACAGGTAGTGAACGATTGAATATTTGATTGATAGGGACATTAGCGAGGACGTGTTCGCATCTTGACGTTGCTGAGACAGCCTAACGGCGAAAGCGTTAGCTACCCGTTGCCTAGTGTCGGAAGCGATTGGCTACACATGTTACGATTAAATCAGAGAAAAAGCCCCACGGTGTCTCGCTGATTCTTGACGCGGGGAATAGAAACTGTGAAGGTACTCTCTCACGTTCATGCGAATCGTCCTAATGTCTGGCTATAGGCCTTAAATCGTGCTCGCAGTACCCCGGTGAGGAAGACGCGGTCTAGCTCCGCGACGAGGAACGGGAAGCCGCAGGAGGCACAGCCGGCGGTCGAACAGTCCGGGGATCATCAGCAGGAGCCGGACGTCTCGGGCGCACAGAAGCCCGCCGCCACGGGGTTCCAGAAAATGGCGACCGCGGCCGGAGCCTCGAAGAGCGCCGCGAGAATCGAGTCCGACGACACGATCACCGCCAGCGAGACGAACGCGAACACGACGAAGAACAAGAAGAAGAGCTTCACCAAGAGAACGAGCAGCCTGTCAAGGGCGAGCTCGAACGCGGCGAATAACAACAACAACAATCCCGAGAACCCGGTTGAGAACATTAGGAAGCAGCTGGAGAAGCTGGAAGATCTCGGTGATCAGCTACCCAGCAATGAAACGGCCTACACTTTGCGATACCCTTTTCAAGACAAAGGTGAATGTTGAGGAATGCCGTCGGATGACCTTTAATTCTATTTGTCTTTCTTTTTTGTATTTAAACTAAGCATGGGATTATTTTGATGAACTTGTTAACTTTGTAGTAGTTTCCGACACACTTCACAACGAATTCGAGAATTGACAACAGCTTAAACGCTTCTATTTTCGGCTCGGATGTTCCTTTCTTCTTTTCATGCTTGTTGATTTATATTTTCATGAAGTTTTTATTGTTATAAGCTTGTCGATTGGTATCTTTGTTTTTTGAATATACATATGGTGTTTTTGATTTGTTTTCCCAGACATCTATACACTTTACTTTGGCTAACCGGCTTACACACTCCTCTTGGCTCGCTCGTAAGCCCACCACCAGGACTTTTCGGTTCCCTTACCGGCACACCTTCTTCTTGTTCGTTGGTTTTTCTTCTCTCTTCTTCTTCTTTTTTTTTGTTGATTCTTTTCTGGCACGCTGCTTCACGACTATTCCTGGGTTAGGAGCTCGTCTAGATGACACCGAAAAGGATTTTGCTCGATTTTCTAGCGCCGGTAAACGCGTCCTCGGAGCTGGAGTTCTTCCGGCACCGAATTCACGTAGAGAGGGATTCTGTGAGAAGGGCACAGGAGGCGCTCCGAGACCAGGAGGACGCTTTTCAGGGACGCCAGAAGGCTTGGAAACAGAGCAGCGCACGGGCGACCCTCGAACAACTAGTTCAGGTACCTCTTGTTAACAATTTACCTGTCTGCGTCTTTTAAACACGTATCCAGACAGCTAAGTATCGATAGATTGCTGATACTTTAGTCAATTGGAGATTTTAGTGGATAGATTGCTGGCACTTAAGAAAATTAAAGATCTCACTTGATAGATTACTGATACTTAAGCTATTGATATTTAATCAAATTATAGTTTTAAATCGATAGATTTCTGACATTTCAGCAAATCGATAGATTACTAGTACTCAAACAAGTTAAAGGCGTTTTTACTATTCAAATTTCCTACTACAAGGCTATTTTTACTACTCGAGAAGTTGGTGCCAAGTTGTAGGCGATGCTGATAGATTGCGGATTTAGTGCATTTATTTAGAATCCCAGGAAAAGGGGAAACTGTGCCAACGAGACTCGTGCTTGCTTCCTCGAGATTCGTCGACCATGCTTCACCGACCATGTTTAAATTATTTAAGAAAATTTCGATTTATCCATGGTACATCTATAGTCTAGTGAAGCGTCGACTAATCTGTCAATTTTCATGAGCAATCCACATGTCTGATGTGTTCGTTGGTGAATTGCAGAAGGAACGCGAACTTTCAGACATGGAAGTGAATTTACATCGCACGAAGAGTCTTTTAGGAGAGAAAGTTATCCATTTAAGACACTTAGAGCAAACGCTGGAGAGAGTGGCCAACGCGAGGCGGAACGAGAACGACGCGTCTTCTACAAGAAACGACGAATTAACTTTGAGCGATATGTCTAGCGCCAGCAGCGGCTTCAGCTCTACTGACCTGGGAACGGACACGTTTATAGGTGAGTTGATCGCACGCGTGGAAATCCCGTTCGTTATCCGCTATCACGTTCTGTTTCGTTTCCATCATTATTCGACAATCTCAGTTCGATTGTTTTCTTCGATCATCGTCGAGTGGCTTTCGTCTGGAAGGGCAGACAGACGATCCGGTTAACGTCCATCCGCACACGAATTTATTTTTCGGTTTTTTTGTGTCATGATCCCCCGTATTCAGACAAACCGGATCACTACCAGGAGTCGACGGAAATCATCGCAAGCCTGGAAAACCTAAACTCGGAAATACGTGAGATCTGGAGCGTCCTGAACAAAAGACAGGACAGTAACGTGCCCCCGCCACCCACTTTGATGTACTCTTATTTGCGATGGCTACGGTTCCATCATCTCGCTGCTCAGCCGAACAATGTGCAAGGTTCGTAGACATTTTTTCTGTTTTGCTTCCCCTCTTTTCCCCCCTGCTCATTTACTAATTCTCTTTTCATAATCTATCTTTTTTCCTGTGCTCACCTTTTGTTTTGTTCTTCTAATCTATCCTTTCTTTACTTCTCATTTTTTAATTTTCTTCTTTCAACCTATCCTATTCCCGTTGTTCATTTTTTAAATTTTCTTTTTCTAATCTATCCCTTTCCTACTAATCTTTTAATAATTTTCTACTAATCTGTCTTTTTCCTACTTCTCATTTACTCTCCTCCATTTGCTTGTATACTACCCCTACTAACTTTCCTTTTTCCCTCGATTGACCACCATTGCTTTTATTTCCTCTTACTAACCAATTACTTCCACAAATCATTTACTCTTTTTTTCAAACAACTGTCAAAGATGCATTAGCAATTCTAAGTGGAACCAACCATTTTCAAACAATTTTCTGTCAACTGCGTATATGAGACTATTATATAGAACAGTAATCGTAAAAAGAGCTGCTTAAGTTCAATCATTGAGCACAGCAGCTTCAGCTAACAATGTGAAGCCAACATTCTTCGTTTTTCCACAGGAACGTTTGGCACTCCGAATATACAATCGAATATTCTATCGCAACTGACAGCCGCGCAACCACCGACTACCACGCAGAACATAATCGCCCAATACGGTCCTAACAGCGGATTCACGACCAGCGTCGGCACCGTCGAGAAGACCACCTCGAACCTGATGGAACGAACGTGGAATCTCAGAGACTGGCTACGTCAAGCTCGCGTCGAAAACACTGATCTGATTAATCCGGGACAAGCGACTCTTTAAAGAGTACTTTATCGTATGTTAGAAACAAACAAATTCGTTTCCAAATGTCAATCGCTAATGACACGACATACTACAATATTTATCAATAAGGGGAGCCCGAGGTTCATCTGAACTGTATCAAAAGTATCAGATAGCCCTAACAATTTCGTAAAATGGATTAGACCACTTTGGAGAATCTTTAAAAGAAATTTCCTGAAAGTAGAAGTCGAATCATTTAAAAGTCGAACCCATTGTAGTTCTGAAGATTTTTAATTGCACTGGTCCAGAATGGTGAATACTTAGAGTAACTGTTTCGTTGACGTAGAATTCATCAACCTTTTCCGAAACGAGTTGAAGAACGCTTTTCTCTCTGGTGAAAGTAGTGCAATATTAAATATAATTGCATAGGATGTTAAATAAGCAGTGAGATTTCAGTGAAGAAATATTCATTCTCCTAAGATTGTTTCTGGCAACCAGGCCCACTTACTTCATTCACAAAATAGATTTTCATTTTGTTCTTAAAGGATGGTAGAGGAGTTTCTTTAATGCATTTAATATAAGTAGAACAAGTATATACAGATTAGGTTTTTTTCAATCTGAGCTTTTAAAATGAGAAGCCTGTGACAGGACCATATTTCTAATCATTAGATTAAATTAACTTCGATCTACACTCTTCTAAATACTCTACTAGTGGCAGACACATATACATGTCTTGCCGTTTATAAGATTGATGGAGATAGCTCCTATACAGTACTGAATTATAGAAACTCCTTCACAGTTCATTCAACATAGAGTTATAAGTCTAATTTACGGACCTGAAAGTCGTGCAATTGTATACGAATCATAGAAGAACGTAGCCGAGTCGATGAGAACGTGAGTCTCGCAAGAAAATTCTCACTGTCGATTAAACATTTTTACCTGTAAAATTAGCCATTCGTATCAGAGAATTCCCCTACCGACCAAAGTCCACATCGAGTCATTTGGAAGCGAGTTTCCCGTCGATCGTCGTTAGAATAAGTCTCGAAATGATACTCGTTCCGGCCTAGGCCGGTCTCGACAGCCTCACATCCGCTTGTTCCTAACGAGTTCTGTTCGTCTCTTCGCTGAATCATCAAACAAAGACTGCAACGCGCACGTAGGACCGTCGTGGCTCACGACGATCGGACTTCCGAAACAATCTCTGGACGAGCGTCCGGCTCGACGATGGCACGGAGAAGCGTTCTATGAGGTTTATTTTGCCCAGGAAGCAAATGTGTTTCAATGAAGAGTGATGAACAAGACTTCAACGGATTCGCGAAGTTTGCCTGTGTCGAGGGACCTGTGTGCGTGTGATTTCCGCGTGAAATGCATAGTTTGACCGACCAAGGCGAAGGACGCGGGCGCGCGTGCGCGAAGGCAACGTGACGGAAGGAGGAGGTGCTTCAACCGTGTGCTCCACCGTCTGTACACGTTGCGCTTTGTTATTGGCTGTAGCGATTGACGTTAAATTCGGTTGACTGAGAATACTATTAGCTTTTTATCTAGTATAGAAGTACAATACTTTAGCAAAATAGAGTACCTATTGTATACGTTTAATTAGTTTTCTTTTAATGTTTGTGCACTATTTCGGTAATCATTATTTTATAAAACAATTACCGTCCTGATTTCCTAAATATATCGAATAACTCAACGCAGCAATTTGTTTCAAAATTTTTAGTTGGAGAAGATATTAACATTGAGAAGCCTATCGAGTTGTTCTTAAATAGGGAAGTATTAATATAGATAGTATGTAATGATAAATCGTTTTTCTTCTTGGTGCATTACTAGGTTTTACCGGTTTAGAACTCGGTCGGTCAAACTATAGAAACCTTCGGGCGCGTCCTCATGTAAATAAGAATTCCTTGGTGCCCGTAAGACTCGGTACGGTTCGCTGGTTCCTCCTCCTGACAGTCTGTTGATCCTTTACATATATTTTCGAGATCGATTTTTCCGCGAGCGAGAGGAGACTGTAATACTGTACGTATCTCTATATTCTATATACTTATTACGATATACATATTACCCGACAGTTCGAATCGTTTTAAACATTTAATCGCGTTTGAGGTGGACGCGCAACTGAACGCGGGATCTTCGACGATCGAGAAGCACCGACGACTTCTCCCTATCTTCTTCTTTCTCTCTTAACACCGAATGTGATGCGGATAATCAAAATTATTTGTAAACCGACCCGCGATACTCTGTACACCGATCGTACACGCGTTTCAAAGTCCGAAACGACGCCACCGGTGCTTCATCGAGCCTTGAAGCTCGACCGCGTACGAAATTTCGCTCCGTTTTGCCGCGATACGTCTATCGAATGCCAAAGTTTCGTAATTATTCGACACTCTTAATCGTAATTACACGCGTACTCGCAACTAGTGGCCGGTGTAACGTCGCATCGATGCTACCGAGAAGTATCATTAAGCGAGATATACGTCGAGCGTCTGAAATTTCAATGTTTACCGATACTTGTCCCGCAAGATTTGGAATTACTCGAATGTCACAGGTAGCATCGACGTCGATCACTATTACCGGCTACAATATTTACAGGGAAAGTAGAGGCGGTGTAATGCCAAACGTTTCTGGCCCGATCGAGTAAAACCAGAGGCGATCCTCGACCCCCGACGTATGTAGCTCGCAATAATCTTGATCTCGTTAGATGTATAGTGTAGCGCGACCGAACATTCTACACTAAAACGTTGAGAGTATTAATTGGATTTATGGCGGGCGCGACCTTAGAGAATTACTCGCGTGATTCGTTTTCCACGTAGTTGTTATTTAAACTGTTCTTTATTGTTACCGTCGTTGATAGATTCCGTTCGATCTTGTTTCGTTTCACGATCGTTCCGAAATTGATCGACGTTCACTGTTCGCGACATTGATCGAGATAATGAAAATGACTCTTTTATTATTAAGGATACCGGAAAGTCTTTTTGCTTTTATCATAATACTTCGCATGCGAGTAATGAAAGGGTATACTTAAATGCATAAGAGAACTTAAATTTAAATCAATTCAAGTTAAGAGTACGTATTGCAATGCGGAGATCAAAGGGTTTAAAATACGCATATACTTTTCGGTATCCTTAATGTAATCGATAAAGAGTGACGCGGATAGTCTGTTCCTCGTTTTTTCCTATTTTTCGTTGAAACGATCGATATTCCGAATACGTAGAGATTTTACATTAGCACCGTCCTTGTGAATCGTACAAGCATCTTCCTCGTGAACGAACGATATTACGTCCGACAGTTTTGCGTTCGTTCTCTCGTTACGGTCGCGCCGCTCGGGATTGGCGTCGCGACAGTAAAGTGAGATCGACATGGATCTGTTCTACTCGTGGCATAGCGAGGAAGAAATGGAGTATTATACTCGACAGATAATATATTTTATAACTTAGTTACGTTCTCTTGTTACGTCACTCCGTGTTAAGCTCCTCGCACAACAAATTTCGCGGTAGCGAAATAATTATATTTTTTTCCTTTTCCGTCGACGGGACGCGTCAATGATTGATTCTGTCGACGGAGAATGCGTTGTTCGCAAGATTCGAGTGAGTTAGATGTTGTTCCGTTTTGAGACTCGTCCATCCTGTTGATGGGAATTGTAACGAACTTTGCCGATACTTTGTTTAAGTAGACGACGAGAGCGTACTCGGAGAGGAGTTGACTGAAATTCGCTGCTTTCTAGTTTAATTTCCGTTCGTCGACTATAGCATGTGTATGATACGGGAGACATTACGACGTACAAGATTCGGTAAATTAATTTTTTGACTACCTTGTATATTCTGTAATATAGTATATATTTGTATGGACGCAAATATATATGGTCTATAAATGATTACTTTACTCGATGACTGTTCTTTTCTTTCGCTTGGTAAACCTTCGCGATCGGATACCGTCTTAATGGCGACTTCGAGCTTCAATATCTAAAGTAAAAAATTGCAAATAAAGAAGTATTTCATTATTCGAGGAATGGGAGATTGACACGTGGTTTTCTTCGTTTCTATTATTTAAGGCTTCGATACGTAATTCAGTTTTTTCAAGATTTTTAGAGGTTTGAAACATTTTTGTAAAGGGTTAACATGTTTACGTGAATATATTTCGTGACATTATATTTATTTCTTTCGACGCTTATATTCAGTTAGTTTGTATCATAAATAAGCAGTAAGTAAAATGAGAAATGTAAAGAATTTAAAGAATAACTAATTAATACAGAGGATCCGTAACTTTAGAATCAAATACAGGGACAACTGCAGTTTATGTCCCACGATTTCGTAAATCAAAAGCAAAGAAGATTGAAAACACTCCAACACTGGATACCAAATAATTTTAAATTCCTCAGGACTCATCGACCTTTTTCTTTGTCGACTTTCCGGCGAGTATAGTTAAATAAACTTTAGAGCGCTCCAATAACCGGGGCTAGGAAAATAAACTGCAATCGGTGTGCGTGTTTTCGCACTGGTCGCTGTTTTCCTCGAATTCGTCCCTGCTGGGCAGCCACCCAGTCATGCTAGACTCACTTTGAGCCTTATTCTTGAGGAAATGCTGTGCTGCTTTTATCACTGGCGATGTTTTGCATAACAAAAGTCTGATACAAGCTGAATCCATGCCATCTACCCTTTCAATCAATTGATTGGGCAGTTCTTGATCTTGCGCCTGCTTGATCAAGCTTTGAATCTTGAAGGGAAAGTATCTATATAGTATCAGCAGGCATTAACGTCGTTAAAGTACGTTGCAATCCTTTAAAATATACGAAGAACGAAGCAGAAAAATACGCAGACATAAATAACGAATCGAATTAAAGATTTTTACGAGGAAAGATAACAAAAGACGATGGAAAACAAACGTTTGTTGGTGGAATAATACCGCATGACTGAAATAATATGCAATTATTTTATCAGGAGTTACTCACTCTCTCGTTTTTGCTTTGCATAATTATGTTGGCTGGATTCCAGTTCGAAATTTCGTCTTCGTCATCCAGATTCCTTGCGATCTGCTCTTTCGGCGGTTTTAAATCGAAGAGCGAACTAATCTGGCAATAAAAATTCGAATTTTGAATAAGAATAAATTACATGTTGAATGATTAAGGTATTGAGAATTTTTCGGTTACCATTTGTGCAAGAAATATGACACTGTTCACAACGATCGCAGTGACTTTCGGCGAATCCAGACCGATCATCCGGAAAAACGCAGACATCATGTTCGAAGGCACGAAACTATCCTTTTCTTTCTCATATTCCTCTCCTCGATTTTGTTTCTGCTTCCCGCTTAAACTCTTGGCGACTAAATCAGCAATATCTTTTGCTGTTTCTAGGTAGCTCGTCGCGTATTGCAAACCCGCTTTTATTTTGTCTAGAACTCCTACAATAATTAAAGAACACATTTATCTATTAAATAATTATTACTCGATAACAAACGTAAACATTAGTAAATAATTAAGTCATTAAAAATTACCATGGTATTCGGTGTTTAAAACAAATGTTAAAATATTTAATGGCATGTTTAATATTTTCAGCAAAATAAAATGGTGAATATAGAATTAATATTTTAATTTTGCACACCTGACTGCACCTTATCATCCGTTTCTTCCATCGAATGCGCCACATAACTGCCCAAAATGGACGCACACATTAGGGCGCACAAGAATTTCTTCATTCCAACTGGACAAAGGTTTCTGCAATACTGAAAATCACACTCCAGCTGCGTATAACGGTTGTTAATTACTAATTTCCACCCCGTTGAGCACTAACGTTACTGTTCACGCCGCGATGCCTCGATTGGGACTCTTCTCGCTTTGTCGGCCAACCACGGGAAACTAGATCCCGCGATTCGGGTGACAGTCGAGTCCTGATGTAGTTTGAAGCACATCTTAGCCAGGATTAGAAGGAATTCTTGTATCTTCGTGAAAATTTGTTCGTATTAACCCCTTGCCATACGATTTTCTTCGCAACTGTGCAGGAAAAAGTTACGTTGCAATTGATAATTTACGAGATCGACAAGAAATTTTCTATTCATTGCTAAGTGTACGTTTACTTTGAAGGTAAAATATCGATAATAGCAGAATAATCTTTCACTTATACCTACGTGCAACGAAATAACGTTGATTTTTATTAGACTGATATTTATTCGACTCCCATACGTCATTCTGTGCCAAGGGGTTAAAGAAAATCGTAATAGTAAGAGTGATACGCAGATTATAAATTAAAATGGCAATAAGGTGAGAATTTGCAAAACATAATTTTGGCGTGCACGTTGATTATTTAAGAATCGATTTCGGCGCTGCCGGTTTCAGGAATACCAAGGCATCACTTATTTTCGCGGCATTCATTTTATTCGTGTTTTCTTGTTTGAAAGTCGCGTCTGCGAATCGAACGACTTTATACGCGGACGAAGTGCGCGGTTTGAGCGAGCTGCCGATGAGCGAGCTGATTCATATCAAGTCTTCTCTTGTGGACGAGGAAGGTGAGTTTGCGAAATTGTATAAAAATATAATTTTTCGAAAATATTGAAACCCCTGACTTGTTTTTCAATCTATTAACCCTTGCTGTGTACTGTTTAATTGTACCTAAATGGACGCTTGACTTTTAATATTTTTGTTTTTCATAAGAATTTGTGAATATTATATAATCGAGAGAATTTCGAAATAGTTTAATATACTCGTTGATTATTACGTTTCGTTAATTTCATTTCAATTCTGATAGTCTACATATATTATGTACAGATTTCTCTAAGGACAATGAACAAGTGTCAAGCAGAATGTTACCCTATTCACTGCCAGTGGCGCTTCCTTTAAAGATGAACAACAAGAGGAACAATGCAAAACCAATGAGACGATACGGCGAACACGAAGAGGAGAAGGGGGGCAATTCAAAAATTTCGAAAATATTCCAGCTGGCGGTTACAGCGCTCTCGTTCCTCGCGTTCGGCGGCTATCTGCTCACGCTTATAATAATGTCTATTCGCCGAAACACGCCGCAGCCGAATAATGGCCTGATCGTCTTATCAGTAAGTTCTATTTCTTCGTTGCTTAGAGTATTTAATAATTATTTGTATATTTTATATTTTATAAGTCTTCCCAAAACAGCAGAGGTTCACGTTGCTAAGATGTTATCAAGTTATAACAATCGCAAATTGATTTTTATGATTAATTGGAATTCATCGAAATAATTGGTTCAGAATTTTGTTAACGTTTAGTAATATTTTGAATGAAAATCTTGTGACTTAGATATTTCAATATTACGAGCCTACGACTCTCTGAAATCTTTTGTCATTTTATTTCGAGAAAAAGGCAAGACAGTGCTTTTAATTAGAATGGTCAAAAGAGTGACATTTTTCCAATAGAAATTTATCACAAACAGCTTTTCATCGAAACTAGGAATCACGGCGAATGAAAATATCCGTGATATTTCGATCCTCCTCAATACGGTTTCGGAAAACACGTGCCGCAATTGAAAAACAAACCCAGCCGAACGGCGCCGCTGGAAATTGCGTGAAAAATTACGTCATTTTCCTGAAACGCGGGAAATGGTCCGATTCGGAGTAACGGTGGTTTCATCGGGGCGACTTCTGCGTTTCAGAATGTACAAGGACTGCAAAACTACCTCAGACCAAAACGGAACGTCTTCGATCCTGCGGAGAACGATTTTGAGACCGAGAGGCTGTACCAGGGAATGATCATGCTGTCGAAGTCTTATGCAAATTACGAGGCTAGGAAGTAAATGTTTAAAGTGACATTATATTTTAACAGAATCAAATTTAGTGAAAACTATTAAGGTGAAAGGGGTTTAAAAATATTGCAATTTTTCATTTGTAAAGTAGTCGTTTGATAGGAAAAGTCGTGATATAAAATTAATTTAATAATATTATGATTATTAATATAATATGTTGCATCGCAGTGCAATTGAATAGGAATTCAGCTTGGATCCGGAGGAAAATTGTATAAAACCACAGTATTCCTTCTTTTTTATATTCATTCTGTTTCGGAAGAGGAAGATAATCGCCGGAACTGTAAATCCAAGATCTCATAATGAACGCGAGGAACACCTTACGATGCTGATCGACTCAATTAAAGGTTCGATTATCACGATCCAGCGGACTCACGAAAATCCTAAAACCTAATAAAATCGAATAGAGGATCACGGTGTGTACATATCCCGAAGAATATTCTTGGCGTGTGGGTAGAGAGGCTGCTTCAAACATGGCTCTTCAAATAAACACCTAAGTGACTGTATACTCCGAAAGTCTGCATGCAAAGATAACCATATGGCTCCCAGAGATATCATCGGCCATACGTCTCTATGCTATTATTCCATGGATATGTATAGCCTGAGTAGCATTTTTCGGAACTTCATTTTTGTTCATATTTTCTTCGGCAACGACGTCCCTTCTTCGATCTTCGAGCCTCACTTCGCGATGAACGCCGATACTTTTACGGAATTTTAAATTTATCTTCTTAATAGATCTCTCAAAATATGTATAACAATTCAATGAAACATTTCAGGTTATTTTAGTTTAGATTGTAAGATATCGCGGAAGGCGTTGACAAAAGTGTGGTCAATATTTTCAACTGAATTTCTGAACTCTTTAGTTACTTGAAACATCATAAGTTTTGCAGTATACGACAGACATTTTTATTGATACCCTGTGTATAAAGGAAGCTTAAAAAATAGTGTTGGCTTTTCTTGTAGAATTTCAATTTATAATTGTTTTTACAGAATCTTGTATTACAGTTTACGCTATGTAAGTTATCGTGCATTCTCGATGAACATTACGTTTCAAGTTTATTATTCAATTCACTGTTGCAGCGTTACGAAACTTCTAATAAACGTTACGATATTATATTTAAATACTTAAAGACAATCCTTTATGTCGCAATATAAATAAATTCATTTTTTTTTTAATTAAACACATGTAAACTGAAATTTCGAATAAAAGAAAAGAAATAACGTTACAGTGTTTCCATTTGTGGTTTCTATAACATCCACCAAGTTTCGTTTACAGTTCCAGAGACACATTCCGAGATTATTTATTATTTCTCGTAAAGATTCATGGAAGTGGGTTGGTTTTACAATATTTACCCACATTTTTGTAATATTTACACATTAAAAATCTCGAGGAACGAAATGGTTGCGTGCGGCGCACCATGGTGGCTCGCAACCCTGGCCTCGGACTCATCATCCTTCAGGGACCAATCTTCGATGAGACACGCCTACGCGGGATCCGCGTGGACCAATCCCACGGCCGAAATTACGGCGAGCTCCGATGATTCTTTTTTTTTAAACGAAAATCTCCTCTGAACATGGTAGGAATACGTCCGCTCATTCGATCTTATGCACTTCCGTGAAAGTCGTTCTTTAACTGTCGTCTCCTGGATCTCTTGATACGTAATCAAACGACACATGTTCGCGTTCAATAATATATTGTTTTCGATTCCGATGAAAAGTCAAGTGAAATCAAATGACGTGCATCTGTCCAGGTGAATCGTTGTATAGCTATTTAAACATGTTATGGACGTTTTAAGTGTGAAGTGAGATCGAAAGTTGGTTTAAACATTCGAGAAACAAAGGATTTTCATTGAGAAGAGAAAAAAATGAATGAAATCAAAACTCGTGTCGTCGATACAACGAACTATTCGAGGCAGTTGAAGTTCGGAATAGAAAGGATATTATCGGACGAATTTTCGGCGAAGAGGACAGGTGAGAACTGGGGACAGTGTTGAATTCTGTGAATCGTTAACATTTATTTAAGTATCGTTGTAATTATCGGTGCGAACGACTTCTCAGTAAGATCGTGCAATTTCGAAAGATGTACTCAGGCCACTTCCGGTGCAATTCTCCACGGTGCGGTGTCCTTGCCCCGGAAGTTGCGTCAGGTGCGAGGCCCTTCGAATCTGCCCACCATTTTCCTACGGACAAACGACTATTCCTGGGAGCTACGGGAGCACGAACCATGGAAACGGGATCATTGAAAACTACGGGAACATTTATCGGCCTGCTCCACTTCGACCTGTTCCTCGACGTAAGTTTTTTTTTTCAATTTGTTTAATGGCTACAAAATATGTATTAAGTAATTCACGTATTCCTAGTGTTTATTTGATTACTATAAATATTAAGTTAAATAAAATAAATATTAAGTTAATAAAATAAAATTTACAGAACTACATTAAAACAACATAAACAAATAAATAAAAATATAGTTTTTGTTGCTTCTCGTGAATTGTTTTGTAATAAGAAATTCTGATTAAAAGAACTTCCTTTTTCGAGAAAATTGAACAATTTTATCAAAATCAGAATATAATCTTTTGATTATTATCACGCATTTTTCTATGGTAATCGAATATTTTGCTAAAATTACAGTTGATAATTATATCTGGCTACAATTACGTAATTAATCGTACTAAGAGTGTTACAAAATCAACATTAATCATTATCAAGGTTTTCACTTAATCGCGTTCAACAGATTCGCGAATGTAGTGGTAACAATGACTTCCTCTTCAATCCCGCCTATTGTTAGACCGAGAAAATGATTCTGTCCGCGGACAGATCGTTTCATCGAGTCGGCTAATCGATAATTCAAAGACCCCCCATGCTCATGCGAGCATTTAGATCATCTTAGGCGGAAATTATAGGCTGGTGCCCCCGTGGCTCGTGAAACGAAATGTTGCGTCATTAACAAATGCGACCATATGGGCCACTGTCTTGTCTCTCGAATACTTGGCAGCAAGTAGGGCAAAATATTTATGCGCCAGTGTATTCTCGTGTTTCCTGTCCGTGTTTAAACGACATCTTAAGTGCCACCGTTCGTTTACACGCGATGTAAACAGCGGTTTCGTCGTGCCCCTTTCTCGGTTAGTTAAAACTGGGAAACTCGCGCTTTATCGAGGAACACTCGAGTATCCGAAAACGTTGATCACCTAGATCGGTCCTCCTAAATGTTACTCCTATTCAATTTTCCAATTTACATCATATAGATTATACTTATCAATTATTATTAACAATTAACCGCTCGTCGTACGATTCATGTTCGCGATTGCACTGGTTAGAACTATGTAATATACACTTCGTCCTCAATAATTTATTGTAGATTATAAAGGCAAAAGTATTTTATCCCCTTTTTATGTCAACGATTGCTTTAAAAATCATCAATCAATAATTGCAAAATAATACTCAATTTTCGCTCGGAAGACTTTTACAGCATTTACATCTGCTAACTGTTATCTAAATTTTAATACGAGTCTGACATTATAAAACAAGAAGTTAAAATCGTACGAACTCTTTATTAAAATAATTCTAACAATCGATACAATACAATCGATAGAATATACTTTATTATTTATGCATTTTTACGCGACACCACGGCACCGTCATCGAATCGATCCAGCCAGTGGAGCAGCCAGGGATTCGTCAATCGCAGTTGCACCTTCAAAGAATGCGAAGCTGAGCGGTTGCCCGAAATAACTATGATCTTGCTCGTCCAATTCATTGGGAGGACCGTACCAACCGGAGAGGGAACCGCACTGTTTAAATTCGTACACATGTTGTATACATTATGTAGGGCTGTAAATCAGCCAGAAGTACCCAATCGCGGGGGCCTCTTGTTCGGTGCTAGGATCTGTTGAAACAGACACCCATCCAGCTAAGGCTACCGTTTACATCGCGTCGCGTCTCCGTCTAGTTTGTGATCTCCGTCTCGTGCATTGCGACAAATCCCCGCCCCTTCGTGGCCCTCTCATTCGTGAACAGAAACGAAACAGCTCCTTTCGCCTACCGGTAGAAATTATTTATCGAAACCACGAAGACAGTTTTAGCACTAAGCCTACCGAATAACTAATGTAGATTAAGAATTTATAATTTCTTATGACGATTAGAAAAATACGTTACCCGAGACTTAAAACGCATTTTATTATCCTGCTTCTAGAAATTCACGAATTTATTCTATAATTCTGCACGAGTGTATTTTTATAATTTTAAAATTTGTAATGGGTTATGTTAAACCATCTATTGGTCCAAGGGTTAAGCAATATTTCTTTAATGCTAGAAATAAGAAACGAGAATTTCAATTCAAATTTTATGTAAACAAATTGTTGATAAAATAAGAATTTAAAATTGAGACGGAAAGGGAGAGTATGAAAAATGAATTATTTTCATTTGTAGCTCCAATAACCTCCAGCACGGCACCGAGCAATCAACCCGAAGCGAATACCAGAAGGAAAAGATCGTGGTCGAGAGCAGTGTTTAGCTCCTTACAACGGAAAGGGTTAGAGAGAAGGTTCTCCTTGCAGAAGTATATAACCAAACCTGACAGGAGGCAGCTTGCGGCGACGCTTGGGCTCACGGACGCTCAGGTAGCGTGATTTCATAATTTGTTTTATAATTTTCTTTGGTAAGAAAGTTTTGAATGCTTTATTCTCAGCGATCTGTTGGAAAAAGTGGTACTTTATTTTGTGGTTATTTTGCAAATTTCAAATTTCAAATTTCTTACCTGTATTAGTGAAATTTTTTAGGTCAATTATGTTGCAGAATACCACATAAATTTTCAATTTTTTACTTGGATGCAAAGTAATTCTTTTAATTTTAGTTGCATGAAAGTACGAAATATTATATAAAGACTGTTCATGTTTTCGTAGGTAAAAGTCTGGTTTCAAAATCGTCGAATGAAATGGCGGCACACGAAAGAAAGCGAGAATAATTCTCTACCGAATCCTGACATACAAAAGGATTTAGCTAGGAAATTAGCGAAGGATAATATGAAAAGTTCGACGGATAAGACTGTTTTGGAAGATGAGGAGGATGTCGAGATCGAAATCGACGTGTGAACGTCGAAGTGTACATTAAATATAGGTTAATAGCTTGTAATTTGTAATGATAAATTTTGAATAGGAATAAAGTTTATATAAAATTGATGATTCCGTGTTCTTCGTTACAATACGAATAAGAATGAAATTGCAGCGGTTGATAAGAGACAGTCTTCAGAAGTTTTCATTCGCTACCGCTCATTGTTTCTCGCAACGCCAGCTGTCACAGGACCGAGACATAAAATTCTTGGAGAAGAACGTTTTATTCATTAAAAACCTCTGGTAAGTCGTATTTTTAATTTCCTTTGTTAAATGTTAACTTTTATTCGATGAAGAAATAATTTGCCAGTTAGTATTCTCATGAAACTAAGGGATCGATTAAAAAATTCAACCTTGCAGATTCAGTAGTTTATAAAATTGTTAAAACTAATAATTTATTAATTAATATAAAATTCACCATAAAATTACTTGATAGCAGGCACGATGCAACGAATTCTGCCGAAAATCGTGACACTGTCACGGAAGTGTTCGGTTATAAAGATTGCGAAGCCAATGACAGCGAATGAGACTCAGAAATGCCTGAATCTAGATACTTCGGATATAATCTGTAAATAACATAAATATAAATCTTCAACTTGTACTAGAACATCTATAGAATACTTTAATATAAGCATTTTATTTATTATTATGATGATTTCGAAACGTGCGATAACAAACTGTTTCAGCAGCATCAATGGCACACAGCCGAGCAGCCGTCGTCACGGATACTCTAAACCGCACAGATGCGATCCCTTTGTTGGATCCAAGTGATGTGTCGTCGTCTTCCTTCCTATCTACGCCAAGATTCGATCCACAAATCGCCGTTGACAAGTCACCGTTGCCATTCGAAGAAATTCCTGGGCCAGCGATCCTGAAACTCTGGGAGAAGTATTGGAAATACGTGCCGCTCCTCGGTACGCAACTGTTTTCCAGTCTGCTAGTCAACAGATTCACCCAGGGTACGATCTGTTGAAGTACCGATAGGTCGAAATCCGAAGATCCGAATGCTTAGTGTGAAATATTCGAACGAAATATTCCTGTCTTTTTTATCGGGAGATATCCCTAGTTCTTCAGGTTTCTTTGCAGCTTTAGCTTAAATAATGAGACTATTATTAAGGATCAGTAATATTTCGTATGGGATTAAAGTTCTTTGTAGCATATAATTGAATGTGCATTAGGATCTTCATATAGACTGCAGGCTTTTAAGTAGATATAAATTTTCGTAGAATAATTCGTGGATACCGAAAAAAATTGAACTTATACGATGTAACAACATTTTTTAATCTTTATCTAATAAGTCCGTAATACTTGAATGATTTTATTAATCACCTGAAACCTATCATTTTACAGGACGTTTATCATGGAATCGCAACGTTACACCGTTGAAATATCTTTTCAACGAATACGGTTGCATCGTGAGGCTCAATGGACCTCTTTCAGGGGACATCATTATGATTCATAGGTGATATTCATTAGCTCATGTTCGTATTAATTTGACAACACGTGATCAATGTAGAACGGGGTTGAATTGATTCAAAGGAATAATGATTATGAATTTTCGAAATGTTTAATTCAATTTAAACTTTTGATTTATTTATTAATTATAATATAATGATTGATACAGACCCGAACACATAGCTGAAATCTTCAAACAAGAAGGCGACACACCGATTCGCAGTGGTATCGATATTCTGCAACAGTATCATCTCCATCATCGAAAGTATCGTTTGGGTGGACCTTTCTCACTGTTAGTGCACACCGTCGCATAATTAAAACAAATAATAAGACAAAATAATACTGAAACATGAGATAAAAAAGAACAAAACTTTTTGAATAAAATATGAATTCATAATGTTAATAGATACACATTTTAAATCACTAATATTATGAATTTGCATTTCATTATGCAAGACGTTCCCGATTTCTTCTATAGAAAAAACAGAGTATAGTATTGTATTTTCATCTAGGCAGGCGTCAGAGTGGCTAAAAGTAAGAGAAAAAGTCGAGAAGGATTTCAAGAACATGGCTTCCAGTTTTTTCTGTAGGATCGATATGATCTGCGACGAATTAATCGCCAGGATATACACGACACGCAATAAACAAGACGAAGTATGCAACGAACAAAATTAACCCCTTGTCCTGTGATACTTTTCACATCTATGCTTGATAAAACTACTCTACTGTTATTAATTCAACAAAGAAAAGAATTTGATACTTATTCTGTATCTATATTTACTCTAAACGTTGAAAATTGATAATAGATAAATAGCATTGCATTTATACAAGAAATAAATAACACTTAGAATTGTCGAAGTCGATTGAAAATTTGTATCAAGAGTCTGACTCGATATTATAGGAGAAGGTGTTAACCAATTGAACTAGACTGTACAGAGAATATGAAATAAAAAAAATTGGATGGAAAATAAAATTTGTTATTTTGCTTCCACAGGTTCCTCGCAATTTCCATGAAGACTTGATGCGCTGGACCATGGAATGCTTCTCCACTATAGCGTTCAACAAACATGTCGGCTTTTTAGAAACATCCGGTTACAACGCCACGTCCGAGCCATCACAAATCATCGATGCAGTAACGACGGCCCACAAGTATATGAATCGCTGCGAAACCGGTTTCCAAGTCTGGCGGTTCTTTTTAACGCCATTTGCCAAGAATCTCTTCGAAGCTTGCGATGTTCTTGACGGGTAAACTTTAGGAAACATTTTCAAATTATAGTGAAAATTTAAATACTTTTAACAATATTTTTCACGTCTTCAGAGTCATTGGGAAGTACGTTCGTCAGGCGCAAAGTAAACTTCGCGGTCGATCTGTCTCAGCGTACAAAACGAAAGAGGCCGAAGAAGATTTACCGGTTTTGGAGAAATTTCTATTAAGCGACGGCATTCATCCGGATGACATCTGTACGATGCTGATGGACATGATCATCTTGGGAGTACAAGCGGTAATATTGATTACGTAAATATAACAATTTTCAGACAATTTCATTCAAAAAATTTCACTTTTAGACAGGAAATTGCGCGGCATTTCTTCTGTACCACTTGGCCAGGAATCCGAGGATCCAGAGGAAACTCTATGACGAAATTATGAATGTCTTGCCAACTGATAATTCCCCTTTAACCGAAGAGGCACTAAAAAATATACCGTATTTGAAAGCGTGCATTCAGGAAAGTTTGAGGTAGTGACCGAATTTAAAGTCATGTCATATCAAATATTAAAAATATATATAAAATAGATAATTTTATTTTATGTAAAGGCTGCATCCTGCGTTTCCATATATCACTAGACTATTACCAAAGACGATATCGCTTCACGGATATACAATACCAAAAGGGGTAAATATGCAAGCTACAGTAAAAACATTAAGATCCATAAGATTTCTAATAGTAAGACTAATTTATATTATCATTCCTTTGGCTTGTAAGACCCAGTGAAGCTTAAGTGACAACACTTGCAACTAAATTAAATAAATATCAACTTTGTTTTATATTACTCTATATTGTAATATTTTTTGCAGACGTTCGTTATAATGGCGAATCAAATATCTTCCCAACGAGAAGAAAACTATGAGGATCCTGATAAATTTAGACCGGAAAGGTGGTTGCACAATTTTTGCGAGGATAACACAGATTTCAGCTGTCTACCTTTCGGTTATGGTACAAGATCATGTCTAGGAAAAAATTTGGCTGAGACGACAATGATGCTGCTAACTGCGAAGGTATTTAAATGAGTATCGATCAAGTATCTTTAATTTAATGTTTTATCTCTCTTTCAGCTTATACGACAATTCAGAATCGAGTACGATTACGCTGACATCAAAAGCAAATTCATGATGGTCAACGTGCCCAACAAACCACTTCGTTTCCGTTTCGTCGACAGGATTTAACCTGAGATCCTAATGAAAAATGTGCAACGGAAAGTTTTTATTATTGTAGTTTATTATAGCCTACAGTGTTCAGTTTTTTGTTAAGTTAATAATGTATAGAAGAGGATAAAAGATGATGAGAAGAAGATTGTGGGTAAGAGTATATGTAATTTAATAGAGAATTCTGTTGAACATTTATTATTATTATCATAGGAAAGCAATGAAATGCATTGAAATATAGCAGAACTGCTGCTTATAATATATGTATTTACACACTATTTAGATTCAAAGCGTAATATAGCTCTCAAAGTTGAAAGGACCGAGAAAGTTGTGTAAAGTACCTGCAGAATAACAGATATTACCATGCATCAATATTCAGTGCTTTTACAGTATAAGGTTGTAACTTACTTGACTACAAAACTTCAAGGACCAAGCAGTTACAAATCCTTCCACGTGAATGGTGATGGGTTTCTGGCACCTTTGAATGATGAACACTGCCTGTTTGCGAACTTCTGGCGAAGCGTTCATCCAAGGAGAGACATAAAGTTTCCAGGCAATATCCTGTGCCTGTTTAGAATGTTCATAAGTTAGAATGTTCGTAAGTTCGGTGTGTTGGCAGCTATTTAAGTGGAACTCACATTTTTGGTCATTAAATCACCTGCCCAACTGCAGGCCATAAATTTGAACAATGTGAACGTGACGACTACGAAGAATTTCGACGTTGCAAACTTAAAAACATTCTAAAAGAATTAATTACACTTGTAAGATATTCAAAAGTATAATGACTAAACAATCTAGAAAATTATTGTAGATTTGTAAAAATAAAATTTCACCTGTGTGATTAAGAGACTGGAAATTATCACGTACAATGTTACAGTAATTGTTGATTTAACCACAAGTGGTGATAGAATACGGTTAGTTTCATTTGCACAGCTGTAATAGAAATATTAAGATTCACTTGAACATTTTTTGAAATGATTGTATCATTACCCAATTGCTTCTTGATGATCTCTGATCCATTTCTTCATAAAGGTCATTCCTTTTTCTTTGCTGGTTAACAATGCGTTGCTTAATAACATGAATTTAGTAGCCGGGTGCAATATTAGGGTAATTATTAGAAGGTCTACGAAAAGCACTGAAGCCGCGTTCGCAATGAGAAACATATTCAGGAAGAAAGTAACGCGGAAACCCCAATACTCGTCCCTTGGTATGAAGAAATATACTGTGTTCAGTGGGGTTTCGTTAGAATCTGTGAAAAGCGGCGACACACAGTAGAATGTTCCACCTAAAACGAACTCAGTAGCTAGACCATAGTACACTGTTTTGATGCGTTGCAAATAATTTTGTCTGATTATATTGTCCTCTGGATTGGATGTCACAAAGAAATCTACCATTCCAAATATTAAACGCTGAAATTGTCATAATATATTTATATGTTACTAGTATGTTTCTGCTACGTCAATATTGTTAATAATTGGCTGTAACTATGATTAATATCTCCAATCAATCAAATTGTCTAATTAATTATAATTCGTTCAATTAGATGTAACTACATTGTCAATTAATATAGACACCTGAAATTCTGATGATCTCCATCGAAAGTAGATTAAATTAAACAATGTTTCGACCATAAATAATATTTCCACGGACGATCTGACAAATTCACTAACGTCTGTGAAATAACAGAAAATACCATATATCATAGCCAATATCCCGGATGATTCATTTATAATGAATATCGCGAACATCACTTCTGGAACTATCACTCGCCATCTTGTAGCGTCCGGATCCGGAGGCCAGTTTCCGTATATTCGACAGCCCATCCTCAAGTACCTGAGTAATTTGATACCTTTGACCTTACCCATTTTGCGCTTTTTTTTATTTACTTTCACAATAATTATTCAAAATTTAGTTTATATATCTGTATTCCCTTAAAATTCTTTATTTGCTGAAAAATCGCTCGGAACTGACATCGGAACCTTTTCAAGCAACGACGATGATACAGACTGAAGCCAATTTGTTGTTTCAGTAAATGAATTCGTCGTTAGAGACGGTTATTACGAAAGCAAATGGGAAACGCTGTCAGTCGTTTCATAATACTGAATAATTAATTAAATTGAGAGGCTAATGTCGTTGCCTCATCTTTGTATAATTTATTTGAAGGAATGGCTAAAAGGAAACATAAGTATAATGGAGAAAGTGATGATAAATCGACCTAATAAATCGAAATATGACAATTATACTCTCTTATTGATATTGCGCTTTTTTACGCATTCTTTTAGAAAATAAAAGAAATATTAATGAAGAATAACCTTTGTATCGGTTGAATTTTCCATACAAATGAAATTTCGAATCTCTTCTGCTGAAACAGATGGTGGTGTAACACAGGAAATAACACATTTCCATGCAAGCGAACGAAAAGAAGCTATGATCAATAGTGAATAACAACTGAGAATAAAAACATGGCAGCACGGTAACGTGTACGACCCACCTTCTGCTAACTGTATAATTTAATAGAGTACATTGTTATTAATCCCTTTACATACGTATGTAAGATACATGAGTATCTGGGTACCCAGTTATTATATGAGCTAATCGAAATAAATTTACTTAATTTAAGAAATGTATAGTTCCGTCAAAGTTCGAATATTCGTACCAATAACATAGAAGTTTGTTAGGTAAAAAATGAACACCTGTTTCGGAATATATCATATATATAATATACAAGTTCATAATTTCCACAGACATAATTATAACACAAAGCTTGGCCTGTATCAAAACTCGTTTCTAACGATTAGAGTAACTTAAATACTTTCTTTCATCAAACTGTTAACATCACTGATTTCATTCCACTTTGTTGAAAAAGAAAATAATAAAAAATAACAGCAGAAATAAAAAGCGTGATTCTCTATTTTTATTCATCAAAATTACTTTTTGACTTTAATACGTCTTTACCTTACCAAATCGCGGCATGATATTTCTTCAGGCAGTCAATCAATGCCTCGACCGTTGTGACCGCTCTAAAATCGATCATCCATATGTCAAACTTCGCAAACGGAAACATTTCTGCCGATTGGAAAAGAGGTCCTAAGATGATCCCGACGTTGCACAAGTGAAATCACATCACGGTCAGCCCGTAAAACTTAGAATACTTATCGACGTACCATCGGAAGACGCGTTTCTCGTAGGATTTCGCGATCTTGCAGAAAGCTGGTAAATACTTAATCAAGAGCTGCAACATGTCGCTAAAGTTATATCAAATTCTCAAACACGGCGTGCTGTTCCCTCCACAAGAGGTAACTTATTACTATACCACGAACGTTCGTGCACATACACACGTGAACTTACATGTAGGACGAATCTAAATGACTATAATCTTATGCTTTTGGTTGTTAGCAGTTAATTCACTGGAAGCCTACCAATTGGTTTTTCGATACAAACGATTTTGTAATTTCCAAAAATGACTCACGAAAGTTGATTGTAACAAATAAACTAGCAGATAAGATTGTTCCAAGTAAAATTGACAAGAAAATGATTGCGGTAAGTGAATTTTATGATGCTTGTAGATATACAAAATGTATTACTGAAATTCAAAATGTCCTAATCGAAGATTATTTTTTTAATATTTAATTTATGTTTCACGTCATATGATTATAGCCATTTTACCGTCATATTTAACGAACGTCTTTATATTTACGCGTTGAATGGAAAAATTATCGTTAGAGTAATAAATATTACTATTTTAACCGGTAATTAGAGGAGAATATAATGCGTGTATTCTAAATACATTTAGGAAAATATTATTGATTTCTATAGATGATAATAATATATAGTATATAAATATAACACAAAAATTGAACTATATTTAAATTTACATCTTGGTATATGTCAAAGGACTTACGCAGCTCTTGTTCCCTTCTCTTCGAATTCCGAGCATTCAGAAATACAATTTTTCAATTTTTAACGTTTCAGTACAACATAAGATACTTCAAGATAGACAATGCTATTGTAGTGACAAAAATTCATTTTGGAGAGAATGAAGCTACGATCAATCAGTTACTCCAACACATTTGTACTATTAGTTGACTTGGATGGCAGTACATCATCGCTATCCGCAAGTACTGCTCGTAAAGCGGTCAATAAAGAGGACGTGCTTGAAATGTACTGAAATATTGGAGAGACTATTCAAATAAGTAGAATAAAAATGATAATTACTATCAATAATATAAAAGTATAAACGGAACTGATACCGAACAGAAATAATCCAGATTAAGGTTTGGTACGAAGCACTTCAAGCTAATCGTTACGGCTTTCTGTGGCATCATAATACGAAGTACAGTTTTCTGCATTTCCGGTCCTTGTTCGTACCATGTTGCTTCGTATGCACCGCGCACAAATTTTTCACTCTGACCGTTACAAAAAGTTATATTTATATTATATTGATACATATAATTAATATATTATATCAAATACAGAAGAATATATGAGAAGTGAAATAAATCATATTAACCATTTCCATCAAATGATCAGCCGGTATCGCCCACATGAGGACCTCCAACAACGAAGCCCCAATGAGTAATATCAATTGCATGTAGACTATGATCATTTGTCGCTATTCATCAAGATACATTTCACATTATTCCATGCTGATACATAGTTCAGTAACAAAGCATTTGATGAGAAGAAAAACAAAACTCACCCCAATTAAATTGAAACCACAAAGTACAACGGCTACGCTGTTAACGATTATCGTACCCAAAGCTACATACCGAACACTGTTGACCACTTGCCAGGCATATCTACATAACAAAAATCACGCTCTCGCGGTAGCGCCTACAATTGTTAACGTATGCTACCTTCACCCAGTTTTGTTAAGAAATAAATAATAAAAAAATGGTCGCAGAAACGAAAAGCGTAATCCATTATTTTCATTCGTGAAAATAACTTTCGGTCATTAATACACGTTTGCCTTACCTAGACACCGCGTGATATCGTTTGAAACAGTCCGTCAATGTTTCGACAGTTGAGGCTGCTCTAAAATCGATCATCAATATCTCATACTTTGCCGCAGAGTACAGAAGCAGCAAACATCCAAACACATTTGCGCTAATGGCTGAGGAACACTGGAGACCGACAACGGATTGGTGCAGAAAAATAATAATCTTCACGGGCATATAATCGACCGGGAACGGATATTCGGAGACCGTCGGAAACGTTTGCGTCGATTGGAGCAAAGGTCCTAAGATGATCATGATCGCGCACAAGTAAAACCACGTCACGGTCAAACCGTAAAACTTGGAATACTTGTCCACATATCGTTGCAAGACGCGATTCTCATAGGATTTCATGCTCCTGCAGAAAGTTGTTAAATCCTCTAGCAAGAGCTGCAAAATGTCGCTGAAGTTATATCGAATTCTCAAACACGGCGCGCCCTTCCTTCCGCAAAGGGTAAGTTATTACTATACTGTGGATGTTTGTGCAGGTACGTACGTGAACTGACGCATATAATGAAATTAAATGTCTATTATCTTATGATTGCGGTTTTTAGCAGTTTATTTACTAAAAGTCTGTCAATTGGCATGTGGATGTTAACCCTTACCGAATAGTAGCCTGCTAAATAACTTACGAGTGTCAATCCTTATTTTCCGAGAGTCTATTCTTATTATATTATTTTACAGCACAGAAATTAGAACAACAATAGTATTCTAATGCAACTGTATAATTTAACAAAATATTATATCCTTGAAAAAAATCAAGCCACAAGATATTCCAGATGATACTCCAATAATTCAGAAGGCCTTACTATTAGATACAATATATTATGATTACACAGATTAATACATGACTGGTGCAGCTTTCTTTGATAAACGTACTATCGAATCATTTATATTTGGCCCACAGACAAATCACGCAAAACATAGTCAAAATCATACAGCTCACCCGAAAGCGATCCTCCAGAAGGCTAAAGAGGAGAAGTTGCAGCATAAGCTGCAACGTGGCGATTGACATGGAAGCTGTGTTAGCGAAGATGATCGCATCGTCATAATTCAGAACCATCGCGTACGAAACTGGTAAAAATAATCCTAGAGCGCTGAGTCCTGCGGCGGCACGCAAGATCCTGTAACGCAGCACCTGAGCTTTAGTAGCGCCAGCCGGGAGCGGCCAAGCGCAGCATAGAGCAGAGCTGAGTCGAGTGAAGGCCATTGCATTCTCAGGTGTCACTTTCTCAAACATAACGCAATGACTTTCATAAATGGTAGCGAAATATCCAGACTTCACGAAACGATTACGTTCCTCTAGTTGTGTTTCCTTGACAGATGACGTAGCTGAAACAATAACGGAACATTCCACACGTGCTCGGCAAGGTACGGGAGCGACCTGCTACCGGAATAGGATCTTGTTGGACTGTGCAAAGTGCAAATGAGCAGCGAGGAAGAAACTTCGCTCCAAGTGAATCTGTAAACAGACGAGTGAATAGTGAATGCAACTATTAAGGAAATAACATGGAGCCAGTAATACAATATACCGCGAGTCTACTCGAGGCGTAGATGGACGAATTAATATGTGATGTTGCTGGTGTAATGATAGCCTAAGATTCTCTTTCTTGCTATTGCTGGCGCGCACGCTCAGAATCTTTAGCCACAAAGGCTCCCCCGAGAAATTCTAGGTATTAAGGAAAGGCGAACGCAACTATAGTTTATCGCGTATGAGATTTATTTGTGAAATAAACAAACGCGATATGTTCAAGTAACCTTTGCAATGACATATACAAGCTGACTTTAGTAAATAAGACGGCATATGTGTGTGTTATAAGTGACAATGGCAAGAAAATGATGGTAGTAAGTAAATTTTATGATGCTCATAGATGTGCCTAATGTATTATTGAAATGTAGATTTCACTACAAATGTTTTTAAGTTTCATTTTCTGTTTCACATTACATGTTTATGCTCTGTTTACTATCTCATTCAATGAAAGGCATTATACTGCCGTGTTGAATGGAAAAGTTATCGTCAGAATAATAAATATTTTTTTTAATAGATAACTAAAGGAAAATATAATACGTCTGTTCTAGACTACATACACTTATGACAAAATCGTTGATTTTGACAAATGAATAAGTAATGGTAACACGTGATACGCAAATGAAACACAAATTGACTATAAATAAATTTGTATCCAAGATTTATATTAAAGTGCTAGTACAACTTATATTCCCCTCTCTTCAGTCTTCGTGTATTTAAAGTTACAATTTTCAAGCTTTTAACATTTCAGTACATCATACAATACTTCGAGAGGAGATAAATCTATCGCAGTGAGGAAAAATTAATTTTGAATAGAAAGAAACTACGATGAATCAGTTATCGCATCATATATGTACTGTTAATTGACTTGGATGGCAGTATATCGTCACTATCATCGAGTACTGCTCGCAAAGCGGCCAACAAGGAGAACGCGCTTGAAATGTACTGAAATGCCATAAAGAACTTTGAGTAAGATTAATAAAAATGATAATTACTATTACTAATATGATGATATAAGTGGAACTGATACCGAACAGAAATAATCCAGATTAAGGTTTGGTACGAAGCATTTCAAGCTGATTTTCATAGGTTTCTGTGGCATCATAATGCGAAGTACTGTTTTTTGCACTGTTAGTCCTTGTTCGTACCATGTTGCTTCGTACGCACCTCGTGTAACTTTTTCACTCTGACCGTTGCAAAAGTTAAATGATTAATATATTGATTACTATAATTAATAAATTGTATCATATAAAGAAGAATATATGAAAAGTATAATAAATGATATCAAAACGGTATCATTGTTCTACTACATCCTAAAATCAATATCTTCATTTCTTGAATTGAAAAACTTGAATTTACTCGGAATTTGTATCTTACCATCTCCATTAAATGATCGGCCGGTATTGCCCACATGAGAACCTCCAACAACGAAGTCCCAACGATGAATATCAATTGCATGTACACTATGATCATTTGTCGCTGTTCATCAAGATACAGTTCAAATTATTCCATACTGATACATACTTCAGTAACAAACCATTTGATGAGAAAAGGAACTGTACCTACCCCAATTAAATTGTAACCGCAAAATACAATGATTACGCTGTTAATAAGTATCGTAGCAAAAGCTACATACTGAACACCGCTGACCACTTGCCAGGTATATCTAACAGAAATCGTGATCACATGATGGTGGCCGTCAAATCGTTAACATCACTCATTTCATTTAACCTTATGCAAATCCTAATGTTATGATATTTTCATAGAAGCTTCTCAATTACAAGCACAAACCGATAAAAAATATGTTCAAATTTCGGAGATCCGATCTGAGGCGACTTCATTAAATGCTCACGAGAGCGTGACTCGTAAAACAGAAAAGAATAAAGAGAAATAATGTAACGACTAACAACGGTAAGAAGGAAGGGTACTAGTCGTACATTTTTATACCTGAACATTACTTTGCAACAGTATTATATTTTTTACTTACCTAGTCACCGCATAATATTTCTTGAGGCAATCAGTCAATGCCTCGACAGTTGTGGCCGCTCTAAAATCAATCGTCAATATCTCAAACTTTGCAGCCGAGTACAGGAGCAGTAAAGCTCCAAACATGTTCGCACTAACGGCAGAGGAGCATTGGAAGCTGACAACTGATTGGTGTAGAAAAATAGTAATCTTCACGGGCATGTAATCAACCGAGAACGGATACTCGGAGACCGTTGGAAACGTCTGTGTCGAATCAAGCAAAGATCCTAAGATGACCACAACTGAGCACATATAAAACCACGTCACGGTCCACCCGTAAAACTTGGAATATTTGTCGACGTATCGTTGGACGACGCGTTTCTCGTAGGATTGCATATTCTCGCAGAAACTTGTTAAATCCTCGATCAAGAGCTGCAAAATGTTGTTGAAGTTATATCGAATTCTCAAACACGGCGCGCCGTTCCTTGCACAAAGTATAACTAATTTCTATACCGTGAATGTTCGTTCACCCGTGGACGTACACTTACGGGTAAGATAAAGGTAAATGTCTATTATCTTTTGGTTTTTGTTTTTAGCATCTTATTTAGTGAAAGTCTATTAATTGGTATTAGGGCAACAAGGGGACAACTTTACGATACGGTAAAATATTCGTAGAATCGTTCATAACCGTTAGCTTTCCGTTCGGTAGTTTGGCAGGACGGCCTGCAGCCAATATGCGGCACATAAGGGTTCAGTTTAGAAATCAGCCATTGTCTATTTTTCCACTTCAGCCCAGGTATCGTAAAGTCGTGTCCTGGAAGGTCCCTTAGAATTTTAGAAATAAGTGTCCTCAAGGATCTTCACCTAACGGAATTTCCGCGATGTTTGCAAAACATCTTGCCACCTTAGTGACCAACTTCTTCGCTTTCGTTCCAAGGGAAGTACCACACTATGGGCGTACTGGAAGGGGATGATGCGGGAGTGGTCATCATAGATAGGAAGAGATGGAAAAACCGCGGCTGAAGCCCCACCTTTTTCGGATATCAAGAGGGAGGAAGTGGACCCAAGAAAAATCAGAAAAACCCTTGTTAGACAAGAAGATTAGAAGGTCCCTTGGGAGAGTCGGTCAGAATTAGAAACACGTAGAGTAGAGTCAGATAGGGACACTAAAGAATCAGTCAGTTATCAGTGGTTTTTTCAGTGCCAATTCATTGGGTGGTCCTTCGAATTAGACGGCACGAAGTGCAATATTCCAAAGGACTCAATCAATTAGATTTTGAGTCCTTAAAAATTGGCTTTTCGATTGTCTATTCTTATGGATCGATAACGTATATAAGTAGAACTCATTTAAGACAAAAGGAATGGAAATGATAAGTTCATGGCACTACAATTAAACTGTATAATTCAATAAAATTTTATATGTATCTAAGTTAGAAAATATTACAAAAATTACAAAATATAACAAACCATTGCATGCTGTTGGACGTTCCTGGATCGAAAGGCACTCAAATACGAAAAATATATCAAATGATTGTAATTTACCTCCTTATGTACTTGTTCCTACACCTCGCACACCAAAATTTGATCACCCCCAGAGACTTTAGGGTGATATAAATCCATACAGTTGCTATAATTATTGGGTCAGGGAAAAAAGCCGATATGTACGGCGTCCGTGTAATGTTTGCTCTGCTAGTAAAAAAAGAAGCGAGAGTAGCTGTGTGTGTGTTCAATGCCTAATGTCCCTACATCTTGGACAATGTTTCGAAAAATACCATACATGCCTTAAATATTAATACTCGTTTTCTACTTATATTAAATATATGTCATAATCCGCCATGAAATAAAAAATTACATTTTTTAATCTATTTATAAATTAAAAATTTCGATTTCGTTTGTGTCAAATTGAATATGATAAATATTCAATCAAAATATACTATTCTACGAAAATGTATAAGGTTTTAAATATTTTCTTTAGCTACTCATTGTTCAGAGACGAGCAAATGAGGCCGGTGTTTAGACTTTAAGTATTTGATATAATATAATTGCGCTAAGATATAGTATCATTATAATTATATATATTAATAGGGCAAGTCGAAGAGAGATGGACAACCTTCGTTTTGCGGCGCGACTTCTAAAAAGACATATCACATTGCTATCAATGCTTCGCAATGCATTCAGATGAACCAATTTTTGAGATCTTCAATTTGTTAATGCGATGGAACACAATCGCCCAAGCATTATCCCTTGCGTGCAGACACGCGTATACACAGCATGCAGCCTGCCTTCCAGGGTACAAGTACGCCTACTCCCATACAACCTAACAGGTCCGACTCAAGGCGGAATCGGTGAAGCACGCACCTTCTTCACCATATCTCTCTTCTCGACCTGACCAGCCAATGGCAACTTAAATGAGATCGGGCAGGTACACCCTCCCCAGCTCTGAGGCCACCCCAACGTAATTGGACCATACGAACGATGCTGCTTTCGTTGTAAAACACATAGTACGTGACTGTATATACTGTATTATCATTCTTATACCGACCATACAAAACCAAACGAAACATATTCAAAATCATACAGCTTACCCGAAAACGATCCTGCAGTAGGCTGAAAACGAGAACCTGCACCATAATGTGGGTTGTTGCAATTATCATGGAAGCTGTGTTAGCGAAAACGTCCGCGTCGCCATAATTCAGGTACATCGCGTACGAAACAGGTAAAAATAATCCCATAGCGCTGAGCCCGGCAGCGACTCGCAAGAACCTGTAACGCAGCACCTGTGCTTTGGTAGCGTCTGACGAGAGCGGCCAAGCGCAGCACAAAGCGATGCTGAATCGGGTGAAGGCGATCGCCTTTTCAGGTGTCACCTTATCGAACATAACGTAACGTCTTTCAAAAGGATAGAGAAGTATCCCGAATCAACAAGACGATTCCGTTCCTCTAATTAAATTTATTATAGAAATGACGTCGTCGGAACAGTAAGCGAAACTGGTTCAGGCACAGTAAAGAAACCATTCGTCAACGGAGGATAATCTTGATGAACTGTGCAATGTGCAAATGAGCAGCGAAGAAGAAACTTTGCTCCAAGTGAATCGATAAACAGACGAGTGTCTAGTGAATGTGACTATTAAGCAAATAACATGCAGCCAGTATCAGTAATCGACCACGTATGTATTCGAGGTATAGACGGCCGAATTAATATGTGATGTTGTTGATGTATAGATAGCCTAAGATTCTCCTTCTTGCTATTGCTGGCGTGCACGCTCAGAATCTTTAGCCACAAAGGCTCCCCCGAGCAATTCTAGGTATTAAGGAAAGGCGAACGCAGCTATAGTTTATCGCGTATGAGATTTATTTGTGAAACAAACAAACGCGATATGTCCAAGTAACCTTTGCAATGACGTATACAAGCTGACTTCAGTAAATAAGACGGCATATGGGTGTGTTATAAGTGACAATGGCAAGAAAATGATGGTGATAGGTGAATTTTATGATGCTCATAGATGTGCCTAATGTATTATTGAAATGTATATAGATTTCACTACAAATGTCTTTATGTTTCATTTTCTGTTTCACATTACATGATTATGCTCTGTTTACTGACTTATTCAATGAAAGACATTATACTGTCGCGTTGAATGGAAAAGTTATCATCAGAATAATAAATATTTTTTTTAATAGATAGCTAAAGGAAAATATAATACGTCTGTTCTAGATTACATAGATTTATGACAAAATCGTTGATTTCGACAAATGAATAAGTAATGGTAACACGTGATACGCAAATGTAACACAAATTGACTATAAATAAATTTGTATCCAAGATTTATATTGAAGTGCTAGTACAACTTATATTACCCTCTCTTCAATCTTCGGGTATTTAAAGTTACAATTTCACAAGCTTTTAACATTTCAGTACATCATACAATACTTCGAGAACAAATAAACCTATCGGAGTCAGAAAGAAACTTCATTTTGAAGAGAAAGAAACTACGATGAATCAATTACCGCATCATATATGTATTGTTACTTGACATGGATGGCAGTATATCGTCACTGTCAGAAAGTGCAGCTCGCACGGCAGTCAACAAGGAGAACGCGCTTGAAATGTACTAAAATGCCATAAAGAATATTCAATAAGTATAATAAAAATGATAATTACTTTCAATCATATTATAATATAAATGGAACTGATACCGAACAGAAATACTCCAGATTAAGGGTTGGTATGAAGCATTTCAAGGTGATCGTTACAGGTTTCTGCGGAATCGTAATGTGAAGTACTGTTTTCTGCACTGCTAGTCCTTGTTCATACCATGTTGCTTCGTACGCACCTCGTACAACTTTTTCACTCTGACCGTTGCAAAAGTTAAATGATTAATATATTGATTACTACAATTAATATATTATATTATATAAAGGAGAATATATGAAAAGTATAATAAACCATATCAAAACAGTATCATTGCTCTTCTACATCCTAAAATCAATATCTTCATTTCTTGAATTAAAACTTGAATTTACTCGGAATTTGTATCTTACCATCTCCATTAAATGATCAGCCGGTATCGCACACATGAGGACCTCCAACAACGAAGTCCCAACGAGGAATATCAATTGCATTTTCACTACGATCGGTTGTTTCTATTCAGTTAAATACATGTCACACTATTTCAAACTGTTATATATTTCACTAATGAAACATTGGATGAAAAGAATACCAATACACACCCCAATTAAATTGAAACCACAAAGCACAACGCATACGCTGTTAATGATTATCGTACCCAAAGCTATATACTGAACACCGTTAACCACTTGCCAGGCATATCTACATAACAAAAATCATCTCTCGCGATAGCGCCCATAAAGTTGACAAAATATGCTAACTTTACCCAAATTTGTTAAGGAAGAAATAATATAAAAATAATAGTAGAAACAGACAAGGTAATCCTATCTTTTTATTCGCGAAAATTTCTATTGACATCAATATACCTTTGCCTTACCTAGTGGCGGCGTGATATTTCTTCAGGCAGTCAGTCAATGCATCGACGGTTGTAGCCGCTCTAAAATCGATCATCAATATCTCAAACTTCGCAGCCGTGTACAGAAGCAGTAAACCTCCAAAAACGTTTGCGCTAACGGATGAGGAACACTGGAAACCGACGACGGATTGGTGCAGAAATATAATAATCTTCACGGGCATATAATCGACCGGAAACGGATATTCGGAGATCGTCGGAAACGTTTGTGTCGATTGGAGCAAAGGTCCTAAGATGATCATGATCGCGCACAAGTAAAACCACGTCACGGTCAAACCGTAAAACTTGGAATACTTGTCGACGTACCGTTGGAAGACGCGTTTCTCGTAGGTCCTCATGTTCCCGCAGGAAGCTGTTAAATCCTCGATCAAGGGCTGCAAAATGTTGTTGAAGTTATATCGAATTCTCAAACACGGCGCGAGCTTCCTTCCACAAAGTGTAATTACTGTACCGTGGATGTGCATGTAAACTTACGCGTACGACAAACGTAAACGTCTATTATTTCATAATTTTAGGTTTTAACAGTTTATTCATTGGAAGTTTAATAATTGGTTCTTCGATGATTATCGAGTAATTGCATAACAATTAACATCTAATTGTCAATCCTTATTCACCGATAACATATTATTATTATACACTTTCCAATGGAGAAATCAGAACGACACGATGAAAAAGTTAATGGTGTTATAAGTCAGCTTTATAATTTAATAAAATACTATATCTTAGAATGAATAAAACCATACGATATCCTCGAAGATACAGTAGCCATTTAAATGACTTTAATATTATATATAACATATGATGATTAAATAGATGAATACATGTACGATGCAGCTTTACTTCACAAACGTATTATCGTATCATTTATAATCGAACTATAAATAATAAAGAAAAATATTTAGAAAAACATATAGCTCACCCGAAAGCGATCTTGCAGAAGGCCGAAAACAAGAAGCTGCAGCATAAGCTGGAACGTGGCAAGCGACATGGAAGCTGCGTTAGCGAAGATGATCGCATCGTCATAATTGAGAACCATTGCATACGAAACCGGTAAAAATAAGCCTAGAGCACTGAGACCTGCAGCGGCTCGCAATATCCTGTGACGCAGCACCTGACCATTGGTAGCGTCAAGCGGGAGCGGCCAACCGCAGCATAAAGAGACACTGAGTCGAGTGAAGGCAATCGCCTTCTGAGGTGTCACTTTCTCGAACATAACGCAAGGACCGTTGAAGAGGGCAGTAGAATATTTCGAATCAACGAAACGATTCCGTTGCTCTAATTAAATTTATTATAGAAATGACGTCGTCGGAACAGTAAGCGAAACTGGTTCAGGCAAAGTCAAGGAACCATTAGCCAACGGAGGATGATTTTGATGAACTGTGCATTGTACAAATGAGCAGCGAAGAAGAAACTTTGCTCCAAGTGAATCGATAAACAGACGAGTGTCTAGTGAATGTGACTATTAAGCAAATAACATGGAGCCAGTATCAGTAATCAACCACGTATGTATTCGAGGTGTAGACGGCCGAATTAATATGTGATGTTGTCGGTGTATAGATAGCCTAAGATTCTCCTTCTTGCTATTGCTGGCGTGCACGCTCAGAATCTTTAGCCACAAAGGCTCCCCCGAGCAATTCTAGGTATTAAGGAAAGGCGAACGCAGCTATAGTTTATCGCGTATGAGATTTATTTGTGAAACAAACAAACGCGATATGTTCAAGTAACCTTTGCAATGACATATACAAGCTGACTTCAGTAAATAAGACGGCATATGGGTGTGTTATAAGTGACAATGGCAAGAAAATGATGGTGATAGGCGAATTTTATGATGCTCATAGATGTGCCTAATGTATTATTGAAATGTAAATAGATTTAACTACAAATGTTTTTATATTTCATTTTCTGTTTCACATTACATGATTATGCTCTGTTTACTGTCGCGTTCAATGAAATGCATCATACTGTCGTGTTGATTAGAAAAGTTACTATTAGAGTACTTAACGCTAAAATTTTCATTCGGTGATAAAGTAAAATATAATTCGTTTGATCAGATACATTTGTGAAGAAATCGTCGGTTTCAGCAAATTAATAATTAATAGTAATATATAGTACACTGATATAACCCAAAATTGGTTACAAATAAATTTATATCTAAGGATTATATCAAAGAACTTGCGTACTTTCAATGTTCAGAAATTTAAAATAACAATATCTCAACCATTTAACTTTTCAGTACATCATGCAATACTTCGAACACAGAGAATCCTACTGCGGTGAGAAGAAATTCATTTGAAGAGAAGGAAACTACTATTAATCAATTACCGCAACATGTATGTACTGTTATTTGCTCTGGTTGGCAGTATATCGTCACTGTCAACAAGTACTGCTCTCAAAGCGGTCAATAAGGAGAATGCGCACGAAACGAACTGAAATGTCATAAAGAACATCCAGTAAGTTTTATAAAATAATAATTACTACTAATAATATGATAGTACAAATAGAACTGATACCGAACAGAAATACTCCAGATTAAGGGTTGGTACGAAGCATTTCAAGCTGATGGTTACGGGTTTTTGTGGCATCATAATGCGAAGTACCGCTTTCTGCATTCCTAGTCCTTGTTCATACCATGTTGTTTCGTACGCACCTCGAGTAACTTTCTCACTCTGATCGTTACAAAAATTGTATGTATATTATATTGATTAATGTAATTAATATATTATACCAAATAGAACAGAACATGTGAGAAGTATAATAAATCATATGAAAACACTATCATTGTTTTGTTACATTACAAAATGAATATCTCCGTTTCTTGAATTTATAATTTAAACTTGAATATAATTTTAATTCGTTACTCACCATCTCCATCAAATGATCGGCCGGTATCGCCCACATGAGGACCACCAACAACGAAGTACCAACAAGGAATATCAGTTGCATGTACACTATGATCATTTGTTGCTGTTCGTCAAGAAACGTTTCACATTATTCTATGCTGATAGGTACTACAGTAACAAACTATTTGATGAGAAAAGAAACTGTACCTACCCCAATTAAATTGTAACCGCAGAATACAATGATTACGCTGTTAATAAGTATCGTAGCAAAAGCTACATACTGAACACCGCTGACCACTTGCCAGGTATATCTAACAGAAATCGTGGTCACATAATGGTGGCCGTCAAATCGTTAACATCACTCATTTCATTTAACCTTATGCAATTCCTAATGTTACGATATTTTTATAGAAGCTTTTAAATTCGAAGCACAAGCCGATAAAAGAATGTTCGAATCTTGGAGGTCCGATTGGAGGCAATTTCATTAAATGTCCACGAGAAAATGACGCGTAAGCCAGAAAAGATTAAAACGAAATAAATGTAACGAATAACAATAGAAAGAAAAACAGGTGCTAATCGTACATTTTTATTCCTCAAAACTACTTTGCAACGGTAATATCTCTCTGATTACCTAGTCACGACATAATATTTCTTGAGGCAATCCATCAATGCCTCGGCAGTTGTGGCCGCTCTAAAATCAGTCATCAATATTTCAAACTTTGCAGCCGAGTACAGGAGCAATATAGCTCCAAACATGTTCGCACTAACGGATGAGGAACACTGGAAGCCGACAGCAGATTGATGCAGAAAAATAATAATCTTCACGGGCATGTAATCGATCGGGAACGGATATTCGGAGACCGTCGGAAACGTTTGTGTCGATTGAAGCAAAGGTCCTAAGATGATTATGATCGCGCACAAGTAAAACCACGTCACGGTCAAACCGTAAAACTTGGAATACTTGTCGACGTACCGTTGGAAGACGCGTTTCTCGTAGGTCCTCATGTTCCCGCAGAATGTTGTTAAATCCTCGATCAAGGGCTGCAAAATGTTGCTGAAGTTATATCGAATTCGCAACCACGGCGCGCCGTTGTTTCAACGGAGTATAACTAATTTTTATACAGTGAATGTTCGTGCAGGTGTGCACGTAAATTTACGCGTGAGATAATGATAATTGTCTATTATCTTTTGATTTTCGTTTTTAACATCTTATTTACTTAAAGTCTATTAATTAGTTTTTCGATTGTCAATTCCTTTTGATCGATAGCATATGTAAGTAGTACTCATTTAAAACGAAAGAATTCAGAACCATAAATTCATGGCGTTATCATCAGACTCCATAATTTATCATAATTTTATATTTATCTAAGAATAAATTTATAAGATCTCATGGAAGGCTTTCGAATTATTTACAAGATCTTAATATTTGATATAATATAATTACTTTCAGATATAGTTTTGTTATAATTGTGTATTCTAATGAACTCATTCAAATGAACCAATCTTTGAGATTTTCTGTTTTTCAATGCGACGGACCACAATCGCTCGAGCACCATCCCTTGCGTGAGGACGTACGCAGTCACAGCATTCAGCCTCACTCCTTCACGGTACAAGTACGCCCAGTCTCATACAACCTAATGGGTCCGGCTCAAAGCGGAATTGGTGACGCACGCACTTTCTTCACTATATCTCACTTCTCAATCTCATCAGCCAATGACAATTTCAATGAAAACTGGCTGCTTCACCCTCTTCAGCCTTGAGGCCATCTCTCCGTAATGAATAGTATACGATTATATATACTGTATTATCATTGTTATTGCGACCAGACAGAAACTGAACGAAGCATCTCCAAAATCATACAGCTCACCACAAAACGATCCTGTAGAAGACTGAAGACGAGAAGCAGGAGCATAATGTGGGTTGTTGCAATTATCATGGAAGCTGTGTTAGCGAAAACGTCCGCGTCGCCATAATTCAGGTACATCGCGTACGAAACAGGTAAAAATAATCCCATAGCGCTGAGCCCGGCAGCGATTCGCAAGAACCTGTAACGCAGCATCTGTGCTTTGGTAGCGTCTGACGAGAGCGGCCAAGCGCAGCTCAAAGCGATGCTGAATCGGGTGAAGGCGATCGCCTTTTCAGGTGTCACCTTATCGAACATAACGCAACGACTTTCAAAAAGGATAGAGAAGTATCCCGAATTAACAGGACGAATCCGTTCCTCTAATTAAATTTCTTTGATAAATTACGTAGCTGCAGCAGTAAATGAAACATTCCGCGCGTGCTCGGCAAAGTTAGGGGGCCAACAACTAGCGGAAGGGGATCTTGCTGAACTATGCAGAGTGAAAATGGGCGACGAGAAAGAAACTTTGCTGCAAGTGAATCGGTAAACAGACGAGTGAATAGTGAATGCAACTGTAAAGGAAATAACATAGAGCCAGTGGTAGAATCTACCATGCGTGTACTCGAGGCGTAGTCAGGCGAATTAATATATTATGTTGCTGGTATAATGATAGCCTATAATTCTCTTTCTTGCTGTTGTTGGCACGCATGCACAAAATATTTAACCACCAAGGATCTTTCGAGCAATTCTAGGTATTAAGGAAGATCGAACGCAGCTATAGTTTATCTCGTATAAGATTTATTTGTGAAACGAGCGACCGCGGTATGTTAAAGTAACTTTTGCAATGACATATACAAGCTGACTTTAGTAAATAAGACAGCATATGGATGTGTTCTAAGTGGCATTGGCAAGAAAATGACGGTGGTAAGTGAATTTAATGACGTTCAGAGATGTGCAACATGTGTTACTGAAATTCAAATAGTTTTTATCTAAGATGTTTCTATATGTTTCATTATTTCGTGTCATTTTTATTGTCAGATTCCATGTAAATTGATATATTTTCGTATTGAATAGAAAAATGATCGTTAACGTAGTTAATATTAAACCGGTATCCCGCAATTAACGAATATAATACATTTATTCTAGATTACATACATTCATGAAAAAACCGTGGATATCGACAGACGAATGATTAATAGTCATAGCAACACGTTGTATTGAAAGATTGGTTCAAAATTACATTGTCTTTTTCGACCAGCACGAGACGCAGAGCAGTGAATAGGGAGAACGCGTTTGAAATATACTGGAAACATTAGAAATCACGTTGAGAATGCTATGATGAATGCTTTAATTTCTATGATAGATGAATATTCATACCGAACAATAATACTTCAAAGAAAGCTCCGGAACCACGGACTTGAAGCTGATGAATTCAGCCTTTTGTGGCACCAACATGCGGAGTACAGTTTTCTGCACTCTCAAATCTTGTTCGTACCAAGTCGCTTCGTAGGCACTTCGAATTGCACCTGCACTCTGATTCTAAATATGTATTGACGATTCTACTCGGACAGCTATTGGTAGATATTATTGGTTCGGCTAAGAAAAATCTTTTCAAAAGTATTAAAATATTCTAAACATTCAATGACATTAATTTTAAAACTTTCGATAGCTGTACATCATCAACCGGAATTGTATTAGTATTATTTGATTTCTATAAAATAATTTTATTATAATCATACCAGGACAGCATATATGAAAAAACATAACCGATTATCAAAGTGTTAACGCAAAATCTTGATTTTAAAAATTAAAAGAATATGATTTTTAATTGAGAATTCTTAAAAACTATGGATTACTTGCTACCATTAATAACTCACCGCCTCCAACAGGCTGTCAGCTGGCCACGTGCACGTGAAAACTTCCAATAGTGCAGTCACGGCCAGAAACATGAACTGCAGTTTTACCACAATACCTCGTCGCTGTTGAGAAGTACAGTTTCTTTTGTGATACAACAGTCCATCAGTGAAGAATCGAACAATTTTCTTAAGTGCATACTTCAATTATTGTAAGACCGGATATCACAAGGAGCATACTGCTGACAATTATAGTGGTCAGAGTCACGTATTGAACACCATCGACGACGTCTCGTGCGTATCTAAAAAAAGATATTCTCTCCTGTATTCCTTTCACTCGCAGTTCTAAAGGGAAATTCTTAATACCACTTTATAAATAAAAGTAGGAAATACTATCATCTACCGTCGAATTATTTTCAAATTCATCGATCGTAATAATGGATTTTTTTTATTACAATACTTTCTATATGTTTTCATAAAGGTAAACATTGAAAAAGAAAAAAATACTAAATATCAACCAATAGGTAAAGTATTAATCTGTCAGATGATTACATAATCTCGAATATGAATTTCCATTTAATCAGTTCTAGGGATGGTATTTGTATTCCATCGGAAATTCACCGTATTACGAAAACGATGTGCTCGGTGATACCTTTTCACCGCGTGGTAATTTTTCAGGCATTCCGTGAATTCGGCAACTGTGACGGCGGCACGTAATTCCGACATCAATATGTCGAATCTCGCCGCGGCGAATATAAGCAGCAAAGCAGCGAGCGTATTCACGCTGACGCACGCGGCGCATTGAAGGCCGACAAAAGCTTGATGCAGGAAGATAGTGGTGCGGACAGGTTCGTAGTCGACGCGGAACGGGTATTCCGAAACCGTTGGAAACGGCTGCGATGTTAACAACGTCCCTAGCACGACTGCAAACGCGCACGAGTAGAACCATACCGTGGACGCCATGTGAATCAGGGAGAATTTGTTCGCGTATCGCTGGAAGATGATAGTTTCGTACGATTTCGCTTTCTCGCAGTAGTCTGTCATCTCCTCTATCAATCGCTGGAATAGAATGGTAAAATTCAATTGTTCCGACTGTCGTTATTCTCGATCAAAAAATATCGGAACCGCTGCCTTCTGCAGCCGGTTTTTCTAATTTTCATTGTGTGCGACCATTAGGTCGACGATAAGCGACCTCCGCATCGTACCTCTCAACAGCCTGAAGACGTAGTCAGTGAAAATTCAGCTTCCTAACAGGACACAAAACAGTTGCTCGACAAATAAACGTACACTGTACCCTACAAATTTTAGTTATTAAAGTGATTTTCAAATTAACTACTAGAATCATTTGCGTTAACCCGAAATATTCTAACGGTATTAAGTTAACGCTCGAAGCGCATATTAAAAATAATACAAATTTAATGTGCACGTCAACACATAATATACAGAGTCTTTCCTAATATATTATTAATATACATTTCCTAATATATATTATTTATTTATTTATTTCATCAGATATCCAATGTTACAATCTAACATCGTCCCAATGTAAGTCAGAATTTCCTTTCTTTTATCTTTGAATGTCCCTTGATCCTTGTTAGAAAAGAAATAAGATTCATTATGTATTTCTTCGTAAAATTTTCTTCAAGTTTCAAGCACGTTTGTCTCCCAAGTGACATAGAATGTGAACTGAACCTTACCTGGAGACGATCGTGCTGGGCCGTGCAGACGCATAACTGCAGGACGACTTGACAGCAAGACGGTACAAGAGCGACTGCCGTGACGAAGGTGGTTGGATCCTCGAAGTGTACGTACAACGCGTACAATAACGGCAATATCAAACAAATAGCACACGCAGCGTTCAGAACTTTCAAAACCACGAAACACCTCGTTTGGAGTTTAGTGGCTGACGAAGATAACGGCCAGCAGCAGATTAAAGCTACGCTGTATTTAGTGAATCTGATCGCTTTTTGTGGTGTTATGTTCTCGAACATTGTTGAACAATTAGAAAAAGGTACAACTCTGCGATATTTCGTCAGTAATTTATTATAATTTACTTATTAACTTATTTTATTAATCTACCAGGATTTAATTTACTGCATGAAGAAAAAATCTCATGCTCGTTCTATGTTCACGTTCACACCATAGATCAACGATTAATTACAGAAGAATGAAATTTAATTTGAATTTTTGCGAAATTCAACGGTGTGTATATGTACTATAATTTATTTGAAATTCTCGTCACGAATTTGACAAAGGGATAACAGCAGAATCTGTAAAATATTTCCCACGCGATTGAAGAAGGAAATGATGTTTCTCGTCTAACAACTTCATTTGATAGACTGAAGAGAAACTACATTCTACAGAAGTAGCAACATCGCAGATGAATTAATGAACGCTAGAAAATCCAGATAGGACGTTGAAACGGTCTTACACGGATTAATGTTTACCACACTAACGTGTCAATTACAGGCAATACAGCCGTGGCACTCGTAATGATAGCTTCCGAGCTTCTATTTCCACCGCCCGTATTGATTTTTCTGAAAAACCTTGCACGCGCGAATCTGAAACGCATTGCTGATTAAACAACAATAGTATCTTTACATAGTTCGTCTGGTTGCATCGATCATCTTGCTCGTTGTCTCCGTTTCCCGGGCATGTACACGGAACTTTGTGCTGCTAATTTTGAGTTGGCAAGACGTAGGAAATTTCAAAAATATTTCTGGCTTCAATGAAATGAATATTGCGCACTATTAAAAGACGAAAAGAAAAATTATAAAAAGTTATACTATAACAATAATGTTACCGAGGCAAAATCTTTTAAAATCGACAAAAATTTCTTCATTTTCTAATGGAAGTGCTAACAAGACATTTACATGACGGTGACATGATTTTTCGCTAAAAAGAATTTGCTCACATACAAGAATCCATTAAATTCAGGATCATCACTGTCCGTAGAATAAGAATTCGGAAAGAGAATATTTCAGAGCTCGTTTATTCCAGAATACATATGTCTATAACGAATTTGTAGTATTCAAAGGTGGATTCTTTAGTTGCAACAAGTGCCGTTAAATGTTTTCATCGTTTCTATATCGTCGTCTGTTTCCATCACGATGCGCAAAGTAGTAAATAAAGAGAAACCGTTTGAAACATACTGAAAAATCGAAGAAAGGCTTGAAAACGCTGTAACAGAGACTTCGGTGGCTATGATATGAGTGAAGTCGTACCGTGCTGTAATAGGTCAAGGAAAACGCTGTCATTACGCCTCTCATACTGATGACTATAGGCGTTTGAGGCACCAACATTTGCAATACCGTCTTCTGCATTCTTACGATTTGCTCGTACCATATTGAGTCGAACACAGAGTAAATAGTGTTCTCGCTCTGATTTCAAATTAGGCATCAGTTATTTCCACTAAAACTACTGGCAACAGTTTGTTCATCGTATAGGTAAAAGTTAAAATACCGTAAAAAGGTAGAACAACAAAATAATTATATAGAAACTTAATGAAATATGATGAAAGATCAAATGAAAGAGGTATAGGAATTTACAATGGAATAGAAACGAAAAGTAATAAATAGTTAGTAAGGATAAAGGATTCTGCGATTCAGGAAGAAATCTATTTGCAGTAACGAAACTTAATATTTTAATTGAAATAATTCGATTATTGGATTTTTTATTGAATAACTCACCACTTCCATTAGATTGTGAGCTGGCCAAGCACACATGAAAACTATCAGCAACGCCGTTCCAACCAGAAAGAGAAATTGAACTTTTACCACAGTTGGTTGTCGCTGTTCGAAAGAAAGAAGAATTCTCTACAGTATCACTATAATCTATACTCTAAACACCTGTCAGATTCCTCCAAATACTTACTCCGATGATGTTAAGTCCGCAGAGGACAATATTGAAGACGCTAGTGGCTAACGTAAGTATCGCTATGTATTGTACACCTTCGACGACATCTTCTGCATATCTGGAAGAATATTGTTTCACAATAATTTCATTACTACCTTCTTCAAAATCGTATTTTTGTATTGTACATCTTGACTATACAGAACAATAGATAAGTATCCCATTCCATTTATTTCCTTCTCTTCTTATAGTCTCTCTTAAATTTCCTAAATTCTTTTTCCAACTATCTAATTCTATCCTATTGACAACAATGACAATAATGACTCTTCTACCGATTACGATCATCGATTTTCAAGTTCAACGCTTTCAACCAGATATAACCAATATTACAAATAAATCTGTTTGTATGAAAATACAAATTGCCATGATCAGTTACAAAGTGTAGCTTAATTTTCGAAGTTGCATTCTTACTTTCTGACAGCGTAATACTGTTTCATACAGTTGTTCAAGTCTGTGACAGTGACAGCCGCGCGCAGATCTATCATCAAGATTTCGAACCTCGCTGACGCGAATAGGGTCAGCAGCGCTACGATCAAGTTCGAGTGGAGAGTGGACATGCACAGAAGACAGACGTAAGACTGATGCAAATAGAGTAAAGACTTGACGGGTTCATAATTAACGGGGAACGGGTACTCGGCGGCCAGCGGGTACGGCTGTGGTAGGAACAGAGCACCTAGAATCATCCCGAATGACGATACCGTGTTCCAGAACGTTGCCCCTTTATAGAACGGTGAAAACCTGTCGATGTATTCCTGGAGAATGTTTCTTTGGTATGCTTCCATGTTCTGACAGTAGGCGACCATCTCCTCGATCAGACGCTAGAACATATCACTAATGTCGTAACTGGAGTTCAACTCCAATACCTTCTTGATTATTAATATCCTAACTGCAGGAAGTGTAAATACTCATTAAAATAATACATATACATTACGAAATGATCTTTATTTTCTATGATCATTCTAGAAACCTATGACGACAGCAGTAGCCTAACGTAACCACCTAATTAAATTACGGTACTATGATGTTAAAATATATAAGAATCACAAAAGATTTACAAAATTACAAGTTTTATTAATGATCACGGCAAAGCTTTAATCGTACAAACTTGACAAGGGACAAGTGGGCTTTTTTAATGCTTCTTCTGCTATATAATGGTCTGTTTTATGAATTAAGAGCCCCTGGAGTTATGTCGACCCAACGTTTTACGGTGTTACCGCGTATTCACGCGTCGTCCACTAATCAACGACGATCTGCTGACATGAACTTAATCCCACTGTCCGTGTTTTGACCAATGTCTTTCCATTCCCTGCCTCTAAGTCCTTACGAACGCTTTTGCTTTGTCACGCACGTATTTCTATCCTGTTCGCGGTGGTCCTACTTCGACCGTTTCTGTGCCAATGAGACAATGTATCGCCGAATGAATGGCGGATGCCAAGTCGTTGTCGAATTCGGGCTTTTTTTACGCTAAGAGTGAAAGGAAACTTACATGTAAAACTATAGAAACATAGTTAAAGATAGATACAAAGATTCCGACAACTTTCATCTCAACAAAGGACTACACGAAGGCTACATACAATTCAATGTTAAAACACATATGACTTAATAGATAGAAAGAAATAAAGCAATATGGAAAGCAACAAAATTGATATCGCAACAGTTCAATGCAAATATAGGAAAGCTTGATTTTTACGCGTATCTTTCATAGTAACACACTTGTCTGCAAGATTAAGGAAATACTTATTAAATTTTAAGTGAAGAATTGTCGATGTTCAAGTTATCATAACTACGTGAAAAGAAATTGTAGGACATTCCTACCGGGCTTATGTGTTCGACATGGGCGTAAAGTTTCTACTTTTGCAATTCGTTATTCGTTTTGATGCGCTAAAGCGCTAAAAAATCTTTGAATTTTGGTCTTTAAATAGATTTAACGAATCTATCATTATATGTAGTACAGTATACTGTTACGTATATCGAGGCATAAAATATCTTCGATAAATGTGTAGTTCGCCTCTTCCGAACTGAAATCCACTCTATCGGCTATGCAGTTTGGGGTGGTAAGGGGGAACATCCAAAACTCGAGCACTCGTCTAGGTCTAGAACGTCTAGGTACATAACGTCACAATTTGCCGAGTAATTGTACATACTTCGATTTAATATTGAATTCTAAGAAGCATACGCGGTCCTCTCGCAGTTTTCATTTCTAAACGTAACTGCGAAATAGGATGTTTATTATAATTATCTATTGAACTAACTATCTAATTACTTTCCATTATAATATGCGACCGCAGACCTATTATTAAATTCCTGGAACTCACCGACAGTGGATGGCGGGCAATGCAAAAATATATTGTTTCGTACGCACTAATCACTGGAATTTATACTCTGTTATGACTTATTGAATTGATATTCTATTATAATTGATTTAACCTTCATTAAAATTTTATTTTAAAAGGAACCAAATTTAATATTCCGTGGGACGAAGAAAACAGACGACCAATAAAAAAGACGTGTCGAAACTGAGCCCCAATAAAAATGGGGCCAACCGCGGCGGGTGGACCTCTCCCCTTGTCCTCCAAGCTGCGTATCTGATTGAGCGGGTTCCAGGTCGGAAGAGGCGAACTGTATAAATCTTCTTTATCGTGCCATTGAGAGAGCAACATTCTATCTATAGAAGGGGAAAGGATACCATATTCTGTCTTACAATGTGACAATGTTACTCGGTGCGTCTCGACATTTTGCTGTCACTCTGTTGGTTCCCCACCGAAATATACGCTCAGAAGTGGCCTAACTCCAAGGGATCTTCTTTCGTAAAACAGACCATAGTTCACATAATAAAAAATAATGCATAATATATTATATTAAGGACCAAATTGAAATCTACATTCGAATATAGCTTATGAGTTGCGAATAAGGTGTTTAATTAGTCAAACGCCATGACAAAATTAATTGATTTAAAAATGGTTCTAATGATAAATGGAACTTTATACTAATCAAAGCTTACCTGCTGCAGGTCATGTCGAATATAACTGTCGATTGCCTGACCAATGACATGAAGACAAGCGAATGCCATGATGGCCGATTTAGAAGAAATGGCAGGCTGTTGAAAATGCAGGTACGCGGAGTATACCAACGGCAGAAATACAGTGATCGTGCAAAGCACAGCAAAAACTTTCAAAACATTGAAGAAGAACATCTTCAGTTTGCTTGTCCCTGAGCTCAGTGGCCAATAGTAATTTATGGACACGCAGATTTTAGTGAAGGTGATCGCCCTCTCCGGCGTCATATTTTTGAACATAGTAACTACTCGAGTACCAGGCCTAATATTAACTCTTTAGCGATTTTAGAAAGCGAAGAATGTCTACACTGTAGGAATTGTATTACTTCGGTAGACTCACTCGTCAGAATGAATCGACAACGAATTCCGAGGAAGAAATCTCGGCGAAAATGAATCAATAAGAACTAAATAGCACGCCAACGTCGATTATTACAGGGATCGCATTACAGTAACACCGACTTATAATGTTGGCAATCAGTGCGGGTGAATTAATAAGTTATGCATGCATCAACCGTAATCACAGCCGACGTCCCTAACTTCCGCGTACATCCGATATTCAGATTTCCGTGGAATATACCACATGGTACGGAAAAATGATCAAGAGTTGTAGAACTCAGTTCAGTTTTAAGAACCGTACAGTCGAAGCTTGCACGTTCGTTCCTCATTATGCAGGTAGACTAGAGAACAGTTTGCGGCGTTGTTTTCTGATAGCGACAATCATGACGCATACAATTACATCTGAAATTGTTGGCCGCAAGTTGAATTTTATTTGTTATAGTAATAAAATAAAATTGAATAAAGTAAAATAAAGTAAAATAAAACAAGGTAAAATAAAATTATGTAAAATAAAGTAACGTAAAATATAATCGAACTGTAAATATTTCTGCAAGTCGCTGTCGGAGAAAAAAGTTACAAGTTTCTTATTAATATATTTACACCTTTAAATATCGCCTGTTCAGCGAGTTCCCTTTCTTCCGAATTTTAGGCTACCGATACGAAAAATCAGGTGAAACATGTATTCATTAACTTCTGTGAATACATGCGTTGGTTACAATTTGTTCCACTAAACATCGTTCTCGATGGAACTTCAACGGGCGTCAGATTTCTCGACCATCACACGCAACGCGGTGAAGTAGGAGAACGCTGTGGACAGAAACTGAAAATAAAGGGAACGGTTACTCGTACATGCGACTTGGAATTCTCATGAGATTTATGCGATGCGCCGACTTAAATAACTGGACTTTGGAGCTACCCCGTATAAGGGACTAAGACATTATCAAATTTACGTATTATTTGTAGTGATCATTGAGGTATAATAATTATGTAGTATACTTCGTTGACAAAAACTCTTTCAGTATTGTTTAAACAGGAGACTATTTAAAGTACATTCTTTGTGGACGAATACACTTAATTGTAGAATCCAAAGACTTTTGGAATATTCTTTTTATTACAATATTTTAATGAATACGATACTTTAACATACACGCTCCAGTATATTAAAACAGTGAAAGATGTTGATTCGTTCTAATACGAAATGAAAAATATGTAAAATAATAATGATTCAATATTTTTCATTTTGACTAATAGATAATACCTACCTTTGCATAATACGACAACGAAATTTGCGGCAGAATGCCTGTTATTTGAATAGCCTCGAGTCTCTGGGACCTCAGCATGATGAAATATACCTTTCTTCGGTACCTCGCATTTTTCTGGTACCAATTTGTATTGAAAGCATTCGCGGCTGTTCTCATACTCTTTATGAAAATGAAGAATTTGAGTTGATGCCAAATTTCTGATAAGATTGATTGGTTACCTGGTGTATCAAACTGTCGGCCGGCCAAGCGTACATGAAAAGCTCGCCGCTGGCACTGACCACCACTAGCGCGTACAATACTTTCAAAGGCAATGGCTGCCTCTGTTCAACGGGAATTTCCATAAATTCGTCAGTCACGTCTTCGCTTCGTTCGAGTTTCCGCGCGGAGAATACTTACGGTGACTAAATTCAAACTGCCGAAAATTACTGCGACGTTTGTCGTGATTTCTGTTGTAAAAACGATGAACCTGACAGCATGATACACGCTCCTCGTGTATCTAAAACGATTCAAATGATTCTTCATTGGTTTAAGTATTTATATTAAATTCAATGTCCAGATATTCAGTACATTAATATGAAACACTATAATAACTTCATTTGAATATAAATGGGAAATACGCGCAGTGAAATGTATATCAATGGAAATATATTTCTCATATTTTCATAAATAGTGAAATAATGAAGTTTTACCATAGAATTAGAGTTCAATATTTTTCAGTTAATCTCAGTCGATAAAGCTTTCTTTTTATAATGATAAATATATATTTATCATATAATAACCAAAAGTACCAAATTTGAATGTAGAAAGAATCAGTACGTATCAACGGAAACTTTATAATAATAAAAAGTTTTAAAACAGTACAAAACATTTATTTCATAATAGTAAGAAGATTAATCCCTTAATGTATTTTGTTGAGACCTCAAGTGGCAAGCTTATGATAGGTCAATGAACGAATGGAAGTGTTGATTTCAAAATCAATGATATCAATTTAACTATAACTCTAACAGCATAGACGGGGATTGTATAAAAATAGTGCACAGTTTACCTGAGCAGATTCACGTGTTCCCGTATACAAGCGTTTAATTCGCTTTCAGATTTGGCTCTCTCCAACCGCATCGCCAGAATCTCGAACCTGACAGCGGTGTATCGCAGGAGAAGCGCGACTTGGACATCGATCGCCATACCCGAGGATACCTGGAATCCAACCAGCGACTGATGGAGGAAAATAATACTCCTAAACGGCTGCCGTTCCACCGGAAAGGGGTATTTCGCGTGCGTGGGGAACTCTCGGGGCGAGTACAATGGCCCGCTTATAACGAACATTGTTGTCAGGAAACACCAAAGGGTGTAGAAACCGTGGGCGTGTTTGTATTTGTTCACATGACATTGGAGAATAACTCTTTCCTCGTCTGTAGCGTCTTTGCAAAAATTCTCCATCTCGAAAAATAACCACTGCGAAAGAAAATTTCAACGTAAGTCAGCTTTTTAGATTTAGCGCGTTTCACCCCAAGCTTGAACCCCAAAATATCTAAATTTATTCTTCAAACGATATTTGTATTTTGTACTAAACACTTATCAATGTTCTCTGTCTTCAAGCTATTATGCTGCCCGATAATTTCAATTTTTATTAACCAAGCGTAATCACAATGGAAATATTTAAAGCTCATAAAACTGTTTTGGTTCCTATGGAATGTTTATCTATGAATCTATGAAATCATCGTAAGGTTCAACGTGTTAAGGTTCCATGTGGAACATTTGCCAGTCTTCAGATTCATATCTTTCCTTACTGGAGCTGTTTATACGACGCCTTATACGTCCGTTTATAATGCGAACAAATTTTAAGTGGAATGTAACAATTTCAGGACAAATCTGCTGTCGCTACAAATATTTCACTTTGTTTGCACGTGACTCTTACTGTAACATATTCCTTCATGAAAAAGGATTGATTTACTTGAAATTTCCTCTGCATCACTCGGCATACTATCATTTTAATCGTGACTTGCGTGACAGCCGAGAAGAGGCTCACATTTTTCCCAAGAATGATGGGCTCTTTGCGATACTCATAAATAGCAAACAGCAGCGGCGCGAGTAATCCCATGGAACTGATGAATGCTATACACCACAGGGTATTGAAAAGCAGAAGTTTAGCTTTGCTAGCTCGAACCGAGGGTGGCCAGGAACATGTCAGAGCAACGCTGGCTCTCGTGAACGCGATTGCGTTTCTCGGTGTCACTTGAAATCCCATTTCGAACAAGGAAAGAAAATATGACAAACAATATCAATTAATTTTATTTTTACCATAAAGAATTAATTTTTACGATAAACAATGTTGTTTGACACTATGTCGACTGTAAAGAACAAAATCTTCTATCAATGCTTAAAGCTGATCTTAAGAAAACAGAGATAGTCTGGGGAAAGGAAACGAAAGTTCTCAAAATCAACATTGCTTTAATAAATGACGACAGACTGTACCATGCGATGGAATCACCTCGGTATTTTCTAAATAAATGATGATGAATCGTACCAGTAGACGAACCATATCAACATTATCTAAATAAATAACGACGGACCGTATCGGCGAACGGTATGAAGTTCCGCAGTGCTTTCACTCGTCGATTTCATCCAACGTTGCGCCAAGTGAATAAGTTAAACTCAGCCCGGTACACTATATAATCAAGATTCATCGTCGGTTATTATAATTTCACCGCCTCGTGAGAACAAGGGCTGCTTCAGTTTGTAGAACCCATGCAACCTCCATTGCTTGTTGCTGAGTGCTGCGCGTCAATCCACCGGAGGAGAGGGTGCATGTAGATGCGTAGAACCGCTGAATTGTTAGTGGTTGCTGAGGGATGAAGAGAAAGATGGAAGGCTCGCGTAAAACATTCGGGGAAAATGTAGAATAACGATAGGAAGGTTTCTTTCGTTTCGAGAAAGAAATGACGTGAATTTTTCTCTGAATTTCTGTGCACTAAAATATGGTAAAATCGTTTCTATTAAATTCGAATATTCATAGATTCGTTAGTATATTTCGTATTGTATCATACTATAGAGATTATAATATTATAATAATTATATTATAACAAACATAAATATTACTTAATTCATTAAAATTCAAATGAAATATTATTCTTCCTAGATTATCATATGCCGAGAATTTGTATTCTTTTTATTAATGACAAAGTAGTTGTATCGATCATAGTTATAAAATTATAAGTCCTAGAACAGGGATTAAAGGTTAATCATGTTTACGTCTAGATGATAGGTAATATAATTATTGCATTAATTGTATTCGTGTAATAATATAATTTTAATTTCCAGGAACCCGATTACAAGTCTTTTCATAGAAATTCTAGCGCATTAGAAAGTTGTGGACAAGTAATGTTTGTTAAATTTGCAATTCCAAGCGCACGTGTTCCCGGATACGTGTATTATAAATACATACACGAACATTTCGTTTCGTGCACGTATTCGGCAAAGTGTTTCCGGTCGTTTCGTATCCCCAGCGGTAAGTAGAACCGCCTAGCGTTAATTGCAAGTATTGTGGTGGAAATTGCTGAAAATGCCGTGACGCAGGAAACAACTGTAAAGTCCTGTGTTTTATTTCCCGTGCATTCATCTTTTGCCCTTAAGAACATTCCTTTAACCGGAAAAGTTCGTCGCGTGTAAACTATTAACAGAATACTTGCTTGTTAAAAGTTCTTTCCTTTTCCTTTTCACGCTCCGCGTTCGTTTTCTCTGTGATTCTCCTAAGATTCTCTAAAATAATCCCAAGACAGATGTGTATGCCTTGTGCAGCACTGAACCCACTTACTATTATAAATTGGTCCAGATTTCGATAAATTTGACCTCACCCAAACTGAAAGCACAAATATCTTTCTGGAAATCAACCAATACCATTATTCCTTGAAATCGTCAATAAATTTATACTACCTCCATTTACACATTTTTTCAATTTATTCACACATGTGTCGATTATTCATCTTTCTTTTTGACATTTATAAAAGGTGTAACTTTTGCAGTTAGTATTCTATTTTCGTTTCAGTTCAGTAACTGAATTACTATTTCTATATTCGCGTATGAAAATTCTAAATAGTGCGATCGGTCCATTTTTCTGTATTTGAGCAGGCAATAACAAAAATAAGGATACATAATTAAATAGAAAGAAAATAAACAAATTCAATTTAACCCTTTGTAAGTCCATGTAACTTTGAAGTCACATATCAGTGTACTGGCATCTTCTTGATTTATTTCATTTTGCACTGAAAGTGGTGAATAAAATTAAGTAATCAGTAAACTGAAACTTTCATACGCTCAAGCGTGAAAGTTTAACGTCATTATAATTAGAAACTTACAAAATATATTCATTTGATGAAATTATTGAAACTATTGAATACATTGTTAATTCGTATTCATATGTGGATATTCATTAATTTTCTACTGCATAGATTTTGTTATAATCATGAACAAAAATTCGGCCCATAGAGGGTTGGTCATACGACTCGATAGCCTGACACTTTTAGATAGTGTAACAGAGAAACGTGATCGCGCCACTTGGCGCTCGAACGGTTAATCGTTCAACCCCTCCCACGACTTACGAAATCTCGAATCCCGCAGCTGCAACGTGCGTAGCATGGAATCGACCATTGCGGCACAGTTTCGTTCCGCCAGATCGGCGCGATTGAAACTCCCGTGAACGAAAGCGTTACGACTTACGTGTGCAAATTGAACTACAGCTGGGATATTTGTTTACTTTATCGCACGGCTATCGAGGCACCCCCCGAGCATTACACCTTCACTAAATCGCGCCCTAGCACTTGGTAATCAGAATCCGCAGTAACCGTCCGCCTCGTTTCCTTCGAGTGCGGCATTGTCGACGGAGGATAAAATCGAGGCTCACCGTTCAACGGAAACGTACCGGCGATCGATACCACACGATATTACCCTCTGAAACGTAACTGCTCCTGCGGGAATAAAATTTCTTTTAGCATCGTCCGTGCACCCCTTAAGATACAAAGAATAAAAAACATCTAAACACTGTACCAAGTAAGTCTCTTTATCGTGTAATTTAGAATTTTCAATATAACTTTTAATCGATAGTTCTCAGCTTTAAGAATTTCAAACAGTCAAGCTATCGAATCGATATCAATTAAATTTGATAATTTTCAACTATAAATTTACCATTTAACAATTTTCGACTTTAAGTTTACAATTGAGCAATTCTCAATTTCAAATTTACCGTTCAATCATTTTCAACTCTAAACGTGCTATTTAATTTTACTTGTAATTTCCCTAAAACCAAAAAGTTGCTCAAGTTCAACCAACAGAACCCATCGGCGAAAACTTTCAAGTAATCACTAACAACCAGATGTCACACTGTCTATAAAAAAAAATCACAAGAGAAATAAAAATTTCTTCTCATTGTCGACAGGCGTAACCGATTTAGATGGTCCCTGGGCCCGTACCGTCGCCCGACATTCCTGAAAATCGTAATGACGAGGACGCCGGAGGATCGGCTGTATATTTTCACGTTCCTCGGCGAAATTACAGACTGAAACTTTCCATATATACGAACGCCGGCCGAAGAGTTACAACTCCTACGAGTCCCCGTGGTGAGTGGCTCTGAAATTCCCGAGTAAGCTTTTCGCGGAGCGTAAAACGGCCGACGGTCTCATGCCTTAAAGAAACGTTTCAAATTTGCAATGCGCCGCCGCGACGCTCGGCCCGTGCCTCGCCGACAAGCCTTCCCGATCATAATCCGGGAAAGTTCGAGGCCGTATTAAACTTTATATTGCCGTTCGCTCTGTAAGAGTTTTATGTACAGGGTTTATACTGTCACGCCTGGGCCCCGCGCACACCGATAGCCCAAGCGAATTTACGATCCAACGTTTTCGGTACGCTCGATCGCTGCGGGGAGATCCGCGACGTGTCCACATCGCGGTGTTCCGAGGACGTTTGCGTTTTTCGGTGAACGTTCATGGGAACTGAAAGGCTACATTCGTTACTATATGATTTTCGAAACGAAGCATGGACATTTCATTTTGAAAAAGCTTATAGCGTGATCATTATTTAGAGAGTGAAGTTTGCGGTTTCGGGAAAATTGGGAATTGGCAAAATGCGTGACGAAAGGATTGATTAAAATTTTTAGGAAATTTCATTCGGGAAGGATAAATAAATTTAGTTGGGAAGATTTTGAAATTGAAATTTACGAGACCGATGTCTAGAGAATTGAAGGTTTCAGGAAAATTGCGAGTTGGTAAATTCTATGGCAAAGTAACTTGCGCGCGAGTTGAAAGTGATTGTTCAGTGACAATTTTGAAGACAAGGAGTTATTGTAATTATAATTATTGTAAGGTAATAGTATACAATATTGAATGTTATTTGAACGAGTGAAGGACTGTTTCTGGCATAAGAATTAATAGAAACCTTTCAATCGATGCTATTTACTTTAGAAAAGAAAACAGTGATCAAATCGTCTAAAGGATAAAAGACAGCAGGGATTTCAGTTAAAAATCACTTTCCGATACGGTCGAAGCCCCCAGATGAGTCCGGCGCATTGCGTATTGGGCGAATCGATGAAACGTATCGTCGATTCCCGTTGTCCGCGTGACGTCCTCGGCGAACAAACGAGTCGGAATGCTAGCCGACGTTCCCATAATAATATGATAAATTCTGGCGATCAATTTGCTCGGCCGCACGGACATTCCATTAAACGAAACACCCGGTTTAGCGTAAATAAACGTTGAATATAGTGATGGACGACAACTGGCCGCCGTTTTTACATCCGTGTCTCGATTCCAGACCGGTTGGGAATTATTATTCAGTAGCCACGTTAATAACACAGCGGCAGCGTGCCTGTAGTTTGTTCGACGTACACCGTTGCTCGGTTATATGAACGTTGTATCTGGCCCGGTTTAGCTTGCAGATAATCAAGGAAAATTGACTTTTCGTCATGCATATTGAAATGAGCCGGTCTCGATGACTACCCGATTAAAAAAATGGTTATAAGCTGCGCTTGATTATTCAAACGATGCGTGGCTTTAATATCCGAGGATAATGGAATTTTCTTTATGCGTTTCGCTTAGCGACTAATCTGGTACATCCTTCCAGCGACGGATGCAGACTGCGCAGACAATACTGTTTATTCGTTTTTCATTTTTCTTTTTTCCGTCCACGAGCTTAGTTCGGACAAAACAACAAAAGAATTGTTATATTATGAGATTCATCGTATCGAAATACATATTTCAA